CAGCATTCCTTACCCTTCTTGATCGAGACCTCCAACGAGAGCGACCAATGAGCACAAAAAGAGAAACCAAGTCAACAGGAGTGTCAACCCTCCGACCCGTTTTCACCCCACTTGGTTCTGACTCAGAAACGGACTTCAGGTCAGACCACTGGTTTCGGTGTAGTTCCGGTTGTTCTTCACTCTCCCTTCATTTTTCCAAAAGCATACCTAGAGACGTCCCCTGGATTTACTCTTTAAGCATCACCCCCCAAGGAAACTCACTTTAAGCCACCCTTTTGAGGACACGCCACCGCGACCGCTGCGTGCAAAACCGAAGACCGCGATTTGCCCCGAGCGAACGAAGCCGAAGCCGAGAGGAGCGGTGCTGGCGGAGGAGCGGGAACTACGAGGAGTTCCAAAGCCTGGCCGTTCACCACCTCTTTCAGCGCCGCAGACGGGTTTTCACGGGGAGACCCCCCAAAAAGGCGGTTGAAACCTACAGGTGGCCACCTGTTTGGGGTTCCTTGTTTGAGACAAACTCATTGGGTGTTCCCTGGTTTGCGAAAGTGTGTGTTTTGTTGAGGCTCGGTACCAGATTGGGGCTTAAAGAAAGGACTACCATCTTCTTATGAGGTGCCCCTACGTAGTTTAAAACACTCCGCGAGTTGAACTTCATGCTTCTTGGGGTTTGGACCATTTCAGTGGCAACATATTTCGGGAATCCCCGTGGCTCCCTCATTCTTTGCTGAACCAGCAAGATGATTTTCCCCAGGAAACCACAAGGATGGAGAACAATCTGTAGCACCCAGGCACTACGAGCGCCAAAACCGTGAAGGCATGCTGCGGGGCATGGAAGTCTTCACGAAGCGCCCCAGTCGGAACGGGGGCGGGGGGGCGGGAGTTGGGAGAGGGAGTCGGCCAAGCCCCCCGCGACCTGTATTTCTGCGGTGCTTTTTCGTCTTTTTCTTTTGCCAGAGAGAGCGACGAAGAATTGGCTGAGGTTCAATCCGAGCAGCTTCCATTTCCTGCTTTTGCTCAAGGTGGGCTGAGCGAGTGGCTGGTGAGAGGGCCCTGGGATTTCGGGCAACATGACTCATACACGTCACAAGACTCCGGACTCATCTCTCATATCGAATCGTGACCATCTTTCCTGGGAGGCGGAGCCTCAAGCTCAGAAAGCAACATATCATGTGCCCCCTGTTTTGGTCCACGCACATGAAACATGCTCCCGGGCCTCCCGAGCGCGCCGAGCTCGAGCAAGTTGGGTTTCGGTGAAGCCAGGCGGGGGTGGTGCTGGTGGCCTACGTGCCGCAGCTCTCCGATCACAAGTCTCAAGGAGCAGTGGGCAGCTTCGTCTGCGGCATTCTGTGCCCTGGCCGAGCGCTCCAGGTTCTTTCCTTTTCTATTGGCAGCCTGAAGCGTGTGCCAAGACCTCCATACCCTTTGTGGCTTGAAAAGTCCTTGGTGATTTTCTCTCCTTGTTCTCAGTTCTCCGTTTCTGGGGCCTCTTGCATGATTTTTTCTCCGTGTTTTTCTGGCATCCCCAAACCAGGTTTCCTTCTGGCTTCCTTTTGGCTGCCTTGGTTTCCGACCCCACTTCACAGCACCCAGTGCCCTCTCGGCCAGGTGCATTGCGCTGTTGGGGCGGCCCTTCGCGCGGCGCAGCGAGGGGGTCACGCTGCTCTTCGGCTTGGCAGCGCTGGGCTTGGCCTTTCTGCTGCTGATGGTCTCCGAGAGCCATCTCAATCTGCGCGGGGAGGCGATTCAATTTTGAATTGGTGTGTTGGGAGCTCTTTTTTTTTTTGTTGTGGTAAACATTTATAAGTATGGACTATTTGTCTTGGAGGCAATTCCCAGTTCTACATTGAAGTCTTTCATCAGCAAGGGGCTGTCCCGCAAATCCAGCCTTATGGCGGCCGCAAGCCAGTCCCCAATTCAACATTTCCCAACCAGAGAATGCCGAGGCCTTTCTGTTGGCAATGCTGTCTGCCAAAATGTATCCTTCAAGGAACCCTGGGTGTGGCTCAAAATTCAAGAGCCGGGGTTCCGCAGCTATTGGTCTTTGTGTCCATCCAAAAACCCACAAATTGGTACCACTTTTTTGAGCCACAGGTCCCTGTCCTGTGGGTTTGCAGGAGCAGCTGAGTCGGGGCCTGCAGCTGGCGCGGCTGCTGCTGCTGGTGCCGCTGCTGCGGCTGCTGCGGCCCTTCGGCTGCCTGGTGAGTCAGCAGCTGCTGAGGTCCAACGTTGACGTGAACCAGGACGCGCACGCGAACGCGACCCCCGCGCTCGCTCTCACCTTTTGGAAGGAAGGAAGGCCAATCGTTGTGCGGCGGTTGGAAGCCCGCAGGCATCGGTCCAATTTTTGGTCTTGATCTTGGCTTGGTGCAAGCCTTCAGGATCAGACCTAGGATTGGCTTGGATTTTGGGGCTTTGAAAGGGAGCTCCCGGACCTCCAAACGACTGCAAATGGGTCTGGCCTTTTTGATTGTACCCTCCTTGGTCTTGCCCACCCCCAGAAACATGGGGCGCTTCCTCACAGGGACCTCGAGTCACTTGAGGAGCTGGCGCTGCTGCAGGTGTCCTGGCAGCACGTGCCGCGGGAGTCGCGGCAGGTGCTGCGTGTCAGGGAGCCGGCGGAGCTGGGCAAGGCGAGCAACATGGGCAAGGCACAAATTTTAAGTGTCTGAAACGCACACAGCTGCCCAGAACCCATGTCTTTTCTTTTTTGGTCGACGAGTAATTGGCAGGAATCCCACTTCAGAGCTCATGGCTATGGGTTGAATAGCAGTTGCACAGGCAAAAGTTCTGGACTCCGTGGGATCCCACTTGAAATGAGGGGACTACCTGCGGAAGGCTTGCTGTGCCGTTGGCTTCGGGTTTTTCTCATAGATGCAATCAACTTGTGGAGGGTCCTTTGGTCCTTTGGTCGCCCAGTTTTCGGTTGCAACCTGGACCGTTGTCTTCCCAAGGTCAGGTTCACGGGCGTCGCCAGGGTTGGGCAATAAATGGGTTTTCAACAACCAGATCGTGCCTCAGTCTTTCAAATGGGTGAAGTCATGGTAGGGGTTGAAGCTTCCAATGAAGTCAACACCTGCAGGTGGCGCTGCCGTGCGGGTCCGTGGTGCTTCCGCTTTGCGCGCTCGAGGACAGCGTGAGAGTGGAGTATCAGAGCGCCGCGGCATTTCGCGTTCAAGCGGGTTTGGGGAAACATTTGGGTGTCTGTTTTTGAAGGTACACGTCAAAAGTAAACCACGGAGAAAACCACCATTTGGGTATCTGTTAAGATAGAGGGACCCCCAAAACGGTGGCCTTCCTTTGGTTTTCCTTTGAACCAACCTCAGAACGGGTATGTGCTCACATTGATGAGTGGTGCCTACAAAGCTCGATCTATTGGCATCAGGGAGATTCCATGTGTATATATATATATATATATTTATGCCTACATTTCTGCTACCCCCCTTGACATACTTTTCAGGTTCGGTGCCCCAGATTTCCATCTCAGGTCCCGAGGGGCCCATCGTCGGCTGGCTGCCGGTGACCCTCTTGGCGCCCCAGCCGGTGGAGCTGAACGACCTGGAGGAGCACATCCTCTGCTCAGCTCCCCGGCACGCGCGCAGGGCGCAGGGCGCGTCGTGGGTGGGGGTGGGTGGGGGACCCGCTGGTGCGGCTGGGAGATCCGGTTTGGCACGGAAACCCTTGAACAGGCATTATGATCCTGGTGGAAACTCGGATGATGGGCGTCGCAATCCCATGAATCCGACTAAGTGTGTTTAATAATGATGGTCAAATCGAGACCGTGACATCTTTTTTTTGCGGCTAAATATTGCAAGGCCGCCCTACCTGAAAGTGCATGTTGGCCCAGTCCGGGGAAAGGGCATGGCTCGTAGATCGGGTATCTCACAATCCGCTTTCCGGAAGTGCCGACCTGCTGACCTTTTGGTTTTGCCATGTGAGCCGATTGTTTGGTCAAGATTCTAAAGGCTGAACTTGCTATTTCCCTTCCTTTGGGCACAGAAACTTGGAGTTCAGGGGTTACCCCCCTGAGCTCTATGCGAGCGAATAGCAATCTGGAGGGCAAATTCGAACAGCCTTGTCAGCTCAGGATCGTACCGGCACAGATGGACTGAAGGCATTGGGTCGGGGAGTGACCTTGATCAACCTATTCCCAAAGGTTCCTTTTCTTGCCAGAACCAAAGGGAACCAAGCGAATATGTTGATTAAGGGAACCACAGAGAGCCCAAAAACACCGTTTCGGGGAACCAAAGCAAAGCCGGACCACGTGACGACGGCATTTTTGGCCCGGGGTCGCATCGAGGTCCCCGAAAGGCCGCCTTGCGCGCGCAGGTCTCCATCCACTTCGGTCGCGCCGTGGACCTCAGCTGCCTGGAGCTCTGCGCGAAAGGCGGAAACGACGCAGCGGAGGTCACCTGGTCTTTGACGTCGCAGGCGCGGGACGTCGCCGTGAAATGAGTTTGGATCGAGTCTCTTGGCCTCAAAAACAGGGCTGAGATGAACACCGAAGCGGGCCAACCACGTAAGGCAGGCAAACCTGTTTATAGTTCTCGCCTATCTGTTTCAGTTGGCCAACAGGAAGCCAACCATTTTTGGGCGTTGGGCGTTTTTCATGAGAATTCCACAGGAACCCACCGATTTTTTGGGTCCAAATCTTCATGTTTTGAGCCCCCCTTCTCATTTTGGTGGGTCCCAGTGGGGAGGGAGGAAACTTATGAATACTGGCTGATAAACCACGAACCAACTGAAAGCAAATAAACAGACTAAACAAAAAAAACACATATGACACTTTTGGAGCCATTTTAATGCAGAAGCAAGTCTGGACGCAGACTGACGGCTAGACCAACCAAGGGGTATGGGTCAGTGCCAGCACGGGTCCCAAAACCTGTGAGGCGGGGGAGAAGAGCGGCTCGGAGACCAGAACCACCACCCTAAAGGCGCGGAGCAAGCCGGGTCGGTCTGTTGTATTTTTGTTTTTTGGGGAGGGTGGAGGGGGATGCTGAGCTTTTTGTGTGTCTTAAGATTGGTGAACCTCCCTTTTGGATGGTTTCATGGGTTTCTTGCTGAGCTTTTGGGTGTCTTAAAATTGATGCACCCCCCTTATGGATGGTTTTGTGTGCTTCTTGGGGTCCTAAAACTGGTTGAACCCTCTCTCCAAAAGTGGCGGGTGCAGGTGGATCCTGACAAAAGAGCTGCATCCTTGACTGGTTGCTGAACCCCGCATTTTATAATCCAGTTTCACACGTCCGCAGTTGATAATTCGGAGACGTAAGGGAGACAGATTTTGACCTCACCCTCCAATTGGGTCGGAGTGCGCACCAAGTTTGCCAGGTGTCTCTGTCGCCATGTTCCATGCAGCCCCGCTGGCGAGTCGATGCAGAAACCCTTGAACTTGCATCCTTTGGTCGGGGACCCATCAAAGAAAAAGGAAACGGTGCCCAGTTGTATGATACCTTACAAAGAGCATCAGCCCGGCCGGGATCCGGAATCATTTTGGAAGCTTAGCCCACGCCCTTGAACCACTCCAGAAACTGCCTGTCAACCCCCTTAGTTTTCAGCTGGAGCAGGCGGAGAAAGCCAGGAAAGAGGCGAAGCAAGTTCCAGGGAAGTGGGAGGGTCCCTTCTCCGGCAGCCGATGGAAGAGCGCTCGGTTTCCGCGCGCCATCTGTTCCCAGGGCCGGGAGTTCCTGCAGTACCACCTGCACTGCGGCGTCACCCGCTGCGAGGTGCTGGTCCGAGGCGGGGGGAAGTCTTCGGGCTCAGGGAAGTGGAAGGGGAACTGGGTCTTCGCAGGTACCCTTTTTGGGGTTGTGGGGAAAGGGACACCGTGAAAAAAACCAACACATTTGTGGTAGGTCCCCCCCCAAGTTTAGTGACACGCGCATGTGGCCATTAATTCTAGTAGGGAACCACCTCGAAAGTGGTGTAGGCACATGAATCCCCACTTAAATGATGTCCACCCAAGGGTCCCGAAATAAACTCCATGCCCATATGAAGAACTTGGTTGCATGGGTTGAAAGCCAGGCAGTGTGTTGGGGTCTCCCTCTTGTTGGAGCGGAAGGTTTCATTGGAACGCGGGACGAGTAAATGAGTAGGGGTATCTATTTTACCACACAACAAATGAGGAAACGAGCAAGCGGGCGGTTTCCACGCACCAGCCAGAAATCGATGAACTGTAAAGGGAAGCCTCAATGAGTCGACGTTTCAATACTGGCTGAACAATGCTGTTGGATGGGTCTTGAATAATGCCCTGCCCCATAAACCCCCCACCCCCCACCCCCACTGTCCGCTCCCTTAGGCGCCGACCGCGGATTGCAGCTGCGGCTGCTGGGCGCAGTCTCGAGTTATGCCTGAGAGCGTGTTGCAAAGCCTTGGCGACACCGGCATGGTATATAATATATACGTTGGTATATATACGTGGGGCTATCGCTCGGAAAAGAAGCCCAGTGGTTTTGAAGCTGTGCAGGGTGACATACGGCTGCAAACAGTCACCGGTTCAGAATGAGCCAACTTGTGGAGTATGTTCCAGCTGATGCAGACAGCTGCAGACCGCCGTTCAACCTGGAGGCTGACCCCAAAGGCGGCCTGTGGGAAGGTTTGTACGTCTCAGACTGCAGCTGGCCTTGATTGCAGGTACTGATTGGGAAGGCAGTTGCCCGGAAGGTAAACGGCACCATGCCATCGCCAAACAGCTTGCCGATGGGCAAGATGAGCTCACCCATGGATGAAGGTCCCTTAGAGATTCTCTATTTCTAGTTGGCAATCATGGCAATTTGCCCAGACGCCATTTGCAGGCTTGAGAGCAACGCCAGTACATATCTTGCGAAGCAATATGCTTGGCTCAGGAAGCCGTTTGACATTGCAGCCCAGCTGCAACCAAGGCCCATAGGTGTCCTTCTTGGGCTGTGCTGTTCTACTCATTGAACTCTATCTTTTCCAACAGGACACCTCGGCCCTAGCGAGCACAATCATCGTCCGATTCAGCTGCGCTCTAAAAGATGTTCAAGCCGAGACTGTAGCTGTTTGATGGTGCTGAAGACTGTCGCACTGCTCATGTGCCAAACACCTTTTTGCCACTTCCTAGTCCCTTGGCATGGCAAAGAGAGCCGAATTTGCAGAGTTGCGTGCCCAATTTTGCAGAACTCTTTTCCCCGACAGCTGAAAGCTCTGGGGTCTTTGCACAGGTAGGCTCCGGGGTGGTCCGGGGCGGCTTTGAGGTATGGTTCGAGGAGGGTTTCGGGCACGCATGTGGCTCTGCGGCTTCAAGGAGGGCGACTTCAGACCGGTCAGCTGGCTGGGTCATTTCCCTGGCGTGCAAGCCAGGCCGTAAAGTGACACGCAGGCAAGGCAGTGGAGTGGCAATGGCTGTTGAGAGTCTCAACCTTGCGCGAAACGCTACCGGCTGCGTCCGCAGAAAGCGTCAGATCCGCATCCGAGCGGAAGTTTGCGTGTCACTTTGCAGTCGCTGGCGTGCCAGGGAAATGACCCAGCTCTGCTTTAAAGCAAGCCCAGCGCGCCAGCAACCGGGGTTTTCCCGACCGGTGGCACACAGCGGTCCTGACCAGCGCGGCGCGCAAACCCCTCACCGGGCACTGTTCGGCCACCTTCGCTTGTTTTCGGGACAGAGGAAATCGACGCTTTGGCTCCCTGCCAAAGCTTCGGGCCCTCGCGGCGCTGGATTCGCAGTGTGGCTCAACGCAGATGGCAAGGCAGGAAAAGGAGCCTTTGCAACCATTCAACCTGATTCAGCCAAATGGGTTTCCTAGATTGCCCCTTTATTCTGGCTGCCGAATGTTGCCCGTTGGCAAGGTGACATTTACAGGTTAGTGATCTAGTTAGAACCTTTGAGAAGGAAGGGCCTTGGTCTTTTTCCTTGGCCAGGGCTGTAAGATAACAACATGGCGGGGTTGTGCCATCCACCCCCCCCTTGTGTAACCCTTCACAAGAACCGTTGACTCAGAAGCGAAACCAGCTGACCAGCTCCTCAATGCTGTTTCCAAGGCCCGAACCTGCAAAATCCAACTTGCACCCAACCAACCAACCCCAACCACTTTCCGGCGAATCGAGCACATGTCCGGGGCGGTTCGCCACGCGGATTTCCTGACCAGCCACTTCGCGCCTCGGGCGGAGGGCGGGTGTTGCTCCAGGCCAGGCGGTTGGTTTCCTTCAGCTTCTCTTCACAGGGGGGCCATCATTTTTTTAAGAAGACACCCCCATGCTTGCGGACCCGAGCTTCTGGACTACTTGGGTTGGAAAGTTTGGGGACCTGTCTTGTTTTTGGCCAATTCACTCTCGAAGCGACGGGACATTCGTTTTGGGCCAGGGGAGATCCTTCTTCAATTCGGTCCCAAGGTTTTCCCATGCTTTCCCTCCCATGGTTCCGAGTGGATTACCAGAAAGTAGACCACCCTTCCTTTCATCTTTAAGGTGTTTTTTTTTGCCACGGGACGGGTTTGGCGATGAAGGCCCATGGACAAAATCCAAAGCACCTGGAAAATCGGGTTGGGCTACTTTGGGTTGACTTGCAAACGCCCAGACCTTTCTTTGGCTGCAGGGCTTCTTTCTTGTGCGAGGGCAGCGAAGTGCAATTTGGCAATTTGTTCGAACAGTGCACGTTTTGCCACGTTTCACCCAGTGTTTTGGGTCCCTGTCCCAGCGCCTGCACGGCCCGAGCCCTTGCACATCCCTGGGCCAAGTGGCTCTCTCAGCTTGGGGGAAAAATGGGGTTTAATCCATTTCTGTGAAACCAGGAAAGCTCTGTTTGGAGTCGCAAGGCCTTATCGCAGAAGGTGCATTCCATGTCTCACCATCCAGTCATCTGCTCTCGGGTTCACCTATGGGTTTGGGGGTTGCCTGACCTTCTAAGACAACCTTTGCGGCGAACGGGCACCCAGGATCAATCAACCCCTGCTTGAATAGTACGGACGGACCAAATCGAGCACCAGCTCGAATGGACGAAACTGCATGAATATGTGGATAAGCCATCGACCAAGTGATGCGGGAGTTTGTTCGTCAGGGGGCCACTGTCGCAGGCGGGATGCCTGCGAGAGCTCTGCGAGCTGAGGCGTGTCGTGGGTGAATCCACGTGGAGATGCCTTGGGGCCCCTGCACATCGGTCGCGCTATCTCGATTTCCCAGTTTTGGCCAACAAAAACTAGCCAAGTTATTCCCTGGCCCAAAAAGGGCAAACCAGTTGCAGTCGTTTGCGGGGTATCCCGATTCCCCTTTGTCCTACACACGCCATTCTGTCCGAGGCTACTAAATGGCTTACACTTGCCAGATGTGTCGAAGCTGCCCCCCCAAATGCGCCATGGTCAAAACAAATCTTTACTGAGGGGTGTAAAGCATTTTAAGGTTCCGCGAATTCTTTTCCTCTTTGGCCCATCTAGCAAATTTGGCCACCAAAACCATGAACTGCTGGTCATTTTAGGTGGTTCAGTTCCAACCTGGTATAGTAAGGTCTATGTAATCCTTTGTAACAATGTTGGTAGAGGCAAAGCCAGGCTGTCAAGCGAGTACCAAGTTCTTAAGTTTGACACTTGATTTCCTATCCGCTGATTTTTGCCAATGGACTTGAAGTGGCACTGCGTCGCGGCCTCAAGCCATTCTTCGTTCTGGAGTGGCACCGCCTCCTGAGGCGGCGTGGGCAGTGTTGTCAGCCTGGTTGCTTTGGAGTGTTGGTTGGTTTAGGCAAAGAGGCAACGCGAGAATCACGAGTATTTCCAGGTGGATCCTTGTTTGGGACTTCATACTAACCTGACAAAAGCAGCATGATGGCTGCTTTGGGCTGGTTTCAGACCGGCTTTGAGTGTGGGTTGGTTTGGGTTTGTTAATGTGCTGTGGCCGTGCAGCCAAAACCCAGCCGGAATCTAGCTTCGGTAGCCTTTGGTTATGACCGTTGGACCGCCTGAAAAATGGACATGAATTTACCCCGTCCAGGATAAATGTTCACCTCTTCGTCCATTTCCACTTGAACTTGCGCATTTTTTTTGCCCAAACTTAGCGCTGAGCACGCATAGAGCCGTATGGGTGGACAGCTCTATTTTCCGCGCCGGGGCTATGCAAAGGTCCTGACATTTCCACGAATTCTTTGCCTCCGAACTACGAATTCTATTATTACCTTCAACAGACTCCCCAGGCCAAAACCTCGATCCCGACCAACAAAAAGCGAGCGTGCGACGTCGCAATGGCGCGCCTCGCGTTTGCGGCACTTTTCGGGGCTGCTCTGTGCTGGGCCGAAGAGCCTCTCGCGGATGCGTGCAAGGAGGCGCCCTGGCGTGGCTGTTACGGGCGGGAAATCATCCCGAAGCACAAAAAGGGTATTTGTATCAATTCAAGGCTCACACTGACCGCGGCTCTGCAAAGGGTGTGTGTGTGTGTGTGTGCACGTGCGCGGGTGAGAGTTTTCGAGTGCACCCTGTCCATAAAGGGACACCAGAAGGAAACCTGCATTCTTTTCGTTGGGGCCCCTAATTATTTTGACAAATCCCCGCAAGCTCGGCCGTCGACGTGGACATACCGGCCTACTTTTGAGGGTTCCCTAACACAAACACACACACACACACACTCATACAGTATTCAAGGGGGCATTCTCAACCATACACAGAGGCCGGAACTCTTGCGATGTTTTCCTTTTTTTTTTTTTTGCGAATATCGTCCTTTACCATCTTTGGGCACATAAAGGATTGCAGTGGTTTTGAACAAAGACACACACACACACACGCACTCTTTAGGTTTCGGTCAAGACTTTTCGTGCTCTTCTGCGGACTTTTCAGGACGGAGGTTTGGGCATGCTGCAGAGCTCGGCCCATGCGCGCTCGGGCGCCGCGCGCTTGTCCGCGGAGCGTCTTCGCTCGGAGCGCAATGAATTTTGCGATGCCTCCTTCGTGCCGCCCAGCGGGGAGGACGCTCAGTTCCGAGAGACAAATGGCCGTGGGTCAACACCAATGGTACCATTGTGGGGCAGGTGCACCCATCTTAGTCTATTCAGTGGGGATTGGGATGTTCACCGGGGGTACGGGATTTTGAACCATGGCCACATGGGCGTTTCATTTCAATCCAACAAATGTGTTGGGCTGGGTGATACAATCTTGCGGGCTCGGTTCCCTTCTTGGGAGCCAAGGTGTACATTGGGTCTCGTGTTTGAGTAGCCGATTCTGTTTGGCTTGGTCCCTTTTTTGGGGCGTTCTCCTGCTTGCTTTGGGGACATACCCCAAATTCCCGTACAATGGGAGCAGATTCCCAAGTGACTGGTTGAAAGGATGTGGGCACCAACTGGGAAAGCTATGCGCCTTTTATTGTTTTGGGGGGGATTTGAGGTTTGATGCTTTGCTGATGAGTGTTTGTAACTGTGAGTTCTGATACGCTCAGAAGGTTGTAACATGCTGCCAATTGCTGCTGATCATTCAAGCCAGAGTAGCTGCAACTCTCTTAGCATCTTTATTTCCATCAATGTTTGGCATTGAAATTTAATTGGACCTCGAGCAGAATCTAGAATGGAAAGACAAGCTGGTCTTTTCTTCAAAAGGAGTGAACAACCAATACAAACTCAAGGACAATGCAATTTCAGTTCTGTGGTTTACAAGGGTTAACCTGCAAGTCTTTCAGTTTAAGTGTGATCTTCTTAACTAGAAGTCAAATGGAACTCTTTGTTCTGAATTAGATGTTAAATAGAAGCTCCTTTACGTAGGACTTTAAGTAGAATATCGTTAGAATGCAAATATGATTCAATCTGAAAAGACAAGCTGGTTGTTTCTTCCAATTTGTTTGCCCCTTAAACGGAGTGAACCGCCAATAGAACCTCAAGGAACATTTCATTTCAGTTCCATTGGTTTACAAGTTTTAAATTGCAAAGCTTTGATTAGGAACAAACACAAACAACACCTCGAGAACACCAACACAACAAAATACCTTGAACACAAAACAACAAGCAACAAAAGCAACTTGAGAAAACCACACACACAAAAACACACACACACACCCACCCACCAACCCACACAACCCACCCACCCACCCACCCACCCACCCACCCACCCACGCACGCACGCACGCACGCACGCACGCACGCACGCACGCACGCACGCACGCACGCACGCAACGCACGCACGCACGCACGCACGCACGCACGCACGCACGCACGCACGCACGCACGCACGCACGCACGCACGCACGCACGCACGCACGCACGCACGCACACGTTGAAAGTACCTCTAACAACACAAACACCAACAACGAAATATGTTTTCTGAGCTCTTTCCACATGAGCTGTTTTCCAATGAGTTCCCAAATGCTGCTTTTTGTTGTCTTGTTGTTTTTGGCTCTCTTGGGTTTCTCGAGGTGTTTTGTTTTTCTCTGGGCTTATCAAGATGTTTCCCATGCATTGGTTGGAGTTTGGCAACTCACCAGCTTGACCCACGGGAAGACTGGCAGCCTCAAAGCACTCGCAAAACGCGCACCAGGGTCCCTCATCCCTCTTCCGTGATTCTATTCAAGAAATTAATGGAGTTGAATGGCTGGAACACTTTCCAACATGTCCATCAAACCCTCCCCAGCCAATCTTAGAGTTTTCGCACGCAAGTGTCTGCAGTCAGTTTCTGGGGGCGGCCGTTGCTTCGGTCTTGGGCCTCACAAAGTTGCGGTTTTGAGGGAAGAGCTCATAGCATTTCCTCCGGTATCCTCCAGTGGAATTGGTCACTGCCTGCCGAAAACTCCCTTCTTGCTAGCCCAAGAACAGTTGGTTTCCTTGGTTTCCCTTTACTTACCAAAGGGGCGTCCCCCAGTTTGAGAAATCTTCATCTCCAACTTCAATTTGGCAACTCATGCATAACGAGCCTTCACAGCGTTTTCCGAGCGTTTGCTGAAGCGTGTTCTACCATAAAGGCGGCGATTTGGGACATCACGGTACGTTTCGGCAGCCGGCTAACAAACATGTTCTGGACATTTGTTCCAAGGAGGGGAATCTTTCTAACATGGCCTTCGCCAACGGAACAGTGCACTTTGTTCAGTCAACCTTGGTGGTAAACAACAGAACGCTGCTACTAGATTCCAGCGCCTTTATGGTTTCTTTCATTGGCTCTGCCCTTTGCGTTGCAGCGAAGCATGTTAATATGGTCTCTGGCTTCACCCCCCCACTTCTCTGCAGATCAGAGTGGTCCTTCGGACTTTTTGAGGTTGCCCTTGAGGCTTCGGCAACAGGACAGGTGCAAGACGGCAAAAGCGCGAAAGCCACCGTTCCGGGAGAAATCGACGCTGGAAAATGACCTGAACCAAAGCGAAACCAGTGGAGCACATCCGTTTTTACCCAAACTGACCAAACAGGACATCTATGATCCAAACCCCGATGAGTAGGCTGACTTGGTGGTTGCTGACCAACAAAAACACCTAGGGGGCCTGCGGGTTTTGTGTTTGTGCCGCTGATTTTCCGGACGGCTGCTGGCCGCATCGCAGGTGCGCTGCAAATGGCCCACCGCAGGCTTCACCTGCGTGAACTGGGACCAGGCGCATCTCCGGATGTTGGCGAGTGGGTCCAAAGTGGGCTGCTGACATTTTCTTGGGGTCTTTTTCCAACCTCATCTATGCTCGGGAGAGCCATGACGCAGAGCTGACGTCGCGAGTTCGAGGTTTTGTGGCTTGGCGCAGCTGTTAGCCTGCGTTTCTGGTGCATTTCAGGCGCGCGCAGGCCCACGTCGCCTTCACTGCCTGGGTTTACGGAGCGGGCAAGGACGCGGGCCCTCGATTCTTGCGACAACTTGCCTGAGAGGTGAATGCCCGACGCGTTGTGGCAGAAGTAACTCTTGGGCTGGCGGCTGTGGAAATATCGCTGAATATGAAATGGGATTTGCGAGAGCGAGAATATGTGCGCGAACGGGGCTGTGTTGTTGGGATTTGGTGCGCTGGTGGGAGGCAGCGAGAACGAAGTGCGCTCGGCCGTTTGCCGTGTTGGGGTCTGGCGCGGGGGGGAGGCGGCGAGAGCAAGCTGTGCCGGTGGGATTTGGTTTGAGGCGGGGCAGCCAGAGTGGAAGGGACCGCGGTGTGTTCTGGTGGGATTTGGTTGGGAGTGATCAGGCTGTGCGCTGCTGGGGCTCGGCTCGAAGAAAAGGCGAGTGCGGAAGGGTGCGTGGGTGGGATTGGGAACAGTGGGTTTGGTGGGCGCAGCGAGCACACAACTGACAGGGCTGCATGACGGCTGTGCGCCGACTTGCATATATATATATATATACGTATATATATATATATAACTTTCCGGATTCCATGTAACTTTGCAGTGAAGTACCCCCCCCCCTGCCCTCGCCGACACTTCACCCTGAACCCACGCCAGGTGGTGCGCTGGCTGCTGCCGTTGGGTGAAGACTACCAGGGCTGGTGGCTGCTATGCCTGCTGCTGCCCTTGCAGGTGATGGCAGCCTACCTCGCGGTGCCAGGTGTGGGGGCCGTTTGAGGGAGCTTGGCCTTGGGGTCTTGGGGCCCCCAGGGGGATGTTGCCTTTGGTGTTGTCTAAGGCCTCCCAAAAATATTCCAAGCCTTCCCTAGCGAAGCACTGCCTTGTCACATGGCGCCAAATCCTTTTTCAGCTGGAGGTGTTTGAAGCGGGAAGCTCCTGCCTGATTAAAGGAAGGCCTTGCCACAACATGACATTGCTTCCAATTGAGTTTTTGAACAAAGAACATCAAGAAGAGAAACCTTTTATTGGGGGGTTGACCGATTCAATCCCTTGTACAAACATGCTGATATGCGCGACTTTGCCAAACGCAAGGTTTATGGTGTCCCTTAGGGGTTCAGGGTCTGGTTCAGACAAATGTGGCCGGGCTTTGAATTTGAGTCAAATCTGAATCGCTTTCGTGTTGGTTTCTTTCGAGCGGATAGGGTCGACCTTCGTTCAGAAGTTACCCAGCTTCTCACAGATGCAGCTCGCAAAGGATTTTTGGATCCTTGGCATCCTCGTTCTTCCCCAAACGGAATCCACAAAACAGAATCCAGGCTTGCAGGGCCTTGCGTGGATAGATGGATAGGGCGACAGGGCTTTCAGGGATTCCTCCTGAGTCAGGGCCAGGCATTGGGCCCCATGGGCATTCTTTGTGGAAAGCCCACGACATTTTTCAGCTTCCCAAAGTCGCATCGTGAGGCGGCGCCGCCTCCGCGAGGAGCTCTGAGTGTCAGGTGCGCTTCTGGTGCGAAGACCTGCCGGCGCATCGGTCGTTGTGGTTGGCCATGGGCAGCGCCACGCTGTGGCTCAGCGCCTTCTTGGACTTCCCCACCTACGAGAAGGCCCTCCCCAGCATGCGCCTCGGAGCAAAGGAGAGAAGCTTAGGGGAAGCTTCTAGGGAGTCCTTTGACTTTGTGCCAAGGGTCCACAAGTGTAGGCCAAGCCGGGTCTTTCCTTTTTCTTTGGCTCGCGCTGGAAGCCTAGCAAGCCCGAGGAAGCTACCAGTGCCCTTCTGCCTGACGTTTTTCCCCGGGGCTCTATGCATGCTGGCAACGGCGGCGATAAAAACCACGAGGCGCAAGTCGGCCTGGCATGTCGCGTCCATTGTAACCATGCTGCCGGCCACGGTGGTGTATATCATTCATGAGAGGCACCGGGAGGTTTCCAAAGCTCTGCTTTTGGCTGGTAACGGGTGACTTGAAGGACGAGTTCTTTGAAGGATCAAGTTTTTATGTTTGTGAGGTCTGTTTGGGGTTCTTTGAGCCCTGAGGCAATTTACCGCACTGGACAGCTCGGGGCATCGCTACCTCGTGGTCTCCTGGGTCTTTTGTGGGATTTGCCTGGCTCTCCTGGCGATGCTGAGGGCGCCTGAGGCCTTGGTCTCCTCCTGGCTGAGGAAGTACGCCATGCTGGTGTGCTGCTTGTCCTACATCAACGGGGGCATCTCCAAGGCGCGGGCCCGAAGCGGAAGGAGTCAGCTTCCGGATCAGTGTGCCTGAAGCCAAGGATGAAACCCCGAACGAGGGTCAGAGTGAAAGAGTCAGAAAAATGAAAAAAAACATCGCAAGGGCCATCTTGTCAGCCGATTTGTTGCAGATCCCAGCTCTCTCTTGCGCGAGGTTCTGAACAGCAAGCCGCTGTTTCGGTGGCTGGACGGGGAGACCTTGCGGCTGTACACGGATTGCATCGCCCAGGTCAACCGCTGGAACGGGATTCCCTACCCTTGGCTCACCAGACAGGCGGGCAGTGGGGAAACAAATGGCCGGTTTTGTGAAGGGAAATGCAGAAACCGCAGCCAGGTGACCCAGAACCGCGTCTGGTCTCAGCTCTTCTGCTGGGCGAATTTGCTGCTGGAGCTGCCGCTGTGCTTCCTGGCGCTCCTGGGCGCGGGGGGCTTCGGCACCTTCGGCCTCGTGCGAATGCTGTGGTGTTCGACCGCCTGCAGCTTCCACTTCGGGGTGAACTTGTTGTGGGGCCGGCACCAGGCTGGGATGTTCGACGGAAGGAAGCATGGATCCATTGGTTTCTTCGTAGACATCACCAGAGGGTTCCTTCATTCCCAACGTAGACTGGGAGACCCTGCTAAGTAACCAAGTGGGAGAAGGACTGAGAGCCAGGCCAGCTTGTACAACTACGAGGCCCTGGTGGTGCTGGTGTTGGTGGTGGACATCTTCGGGCACGTGGCTGCGCTTTTACCCAAGGTCCAAAAATCTGGCAACGACCCCCCGGAGGCAACCGCGGAGACGCCGGAGACGCCGGAGACGCCGGAGACGCCGGAGACGCCAGAGGTGCCGACTTCAGGAGCCTTGACGGCCCTGGCCTGGCTGTGCAGCGGGGCCCTGTTTGCCTGGCAGCTGGTGGCGTTTTTGTACCACTTCGGGGACCCCAAGTGGCCCATCACGGCGGTGCCCATGTTCTCCATGACATGCAGCATTATCCACTGCGATGAGGAATTCCGACAAAGCACTTACCAACTCTCAACGCTCTTGGCCATCTTGCTCAGCCTCCTGGGGACCTCCATCGTGTTCCTGCGGCCCGCCTCTTCTGCCCCAGGCGAGAAGCCTGGACTCAAGGCCTAAATTTTCAGCGCTGATTCGCCTCGGGGAGGAGAAAGAACTTGTTTCCGACGTCCTTTGACAGGATCCGCTTTGAATTTGCGACTGCGCGTTCCACTGCAAAATGGCCGCGCGATCGCATTTCGCACTGATCTTGGGGGAAGCCACTGGGCTTTGGGTAACGTGGGGTTTCTTTGAGCCAGGGTTGGGAATCTCCAGAAACCATGCACCACCCGCAGAGAGAACCTGACTGAGTGGGGTGTGAATTACAGACTTATACATGGGTGTATCTGAGAATCGGGGACCTCCCAAGTCGAAATGAGTTTTCTTTTTCTGGTGGCCACCAACACGTGACACGCTCCAAACAGCCGTTAAAATTCTTAATTGCATGGATCGTCGCATCACGTGCAATTCCGTACCTTGCCATCCTTGGATCCTTGCGCGACAAAGGGGAGGTGCACGCCGGGGCAAGAGCACTAGCAGAAGCCCAAGAGAGCGTTTGACCATGAACCGTTCCAGGAGCAGTGGGCTTTCGCAAGCTCTTCCTGCCCATGTGGCACATGGGCAGGAGCTGCTCTTTTCGGGAGTAGGTGTTGCTACTTTACGAGAATCTGGCTTTAAGACCTGGGTATCGACTATTGCATTGATACAAGGGAACCTCTATGGGTGAGAGTTCAACCTGCATCCCGGACCCGTGTCCAAGCCTTGCGCGAAGGTACAGCTCGCAGCTGTGAGGCGAAAGTCGCCCCTTTTCGTCACCGATGCGTTAGCCAAAATGAGGGGCTGACGCTGCGCGAAGTTTGAGGCCGGCTTCCTTTTTCTGCACCATAGCGTTTGCATCGGGGCTCTCAGGCGATTGCGCTTCATCTGCCCCGTAGCTCTGTGGGAGGATAAGGAGGCTGCACCATTGTTTCTCTTTCTTTATCAGCGCGGTTGACAATGAAGCGACTGGTGCAAGACAACCAGCCGCACATATGGGTATGAATTAGTTTTCGTTTGAGACACTTTGGACATCGCTGGCATGGACGAATGTCCAATCCTGTTTGAGGGTGTTCCGGCCAGTAAAACTGCCACATCATGGATCCAATTGGAGCAGACGGCAGACGGGGCTCCTGGCCGGAAAAAAAAAGCAAAAAAAAAATCGCCGGTCGGGAGTCCATGAAGCGGAAAGCGGTTCACAGAAAACAGCAGATGTCAGGAGAACAGAACAAAACGCAAAACCGATGACGCGACGCACATTATTTCTGCTACACATGGTCAAATGCTTACATCGGAGTTGGGATGATCATAAGCCCCTGAAGATTTAGAAGCATTCCTTTGAAAGAGAAACCATGACCATGCCCCCCTGAAAGGTGGAGTTCTAATCCCTGTTGGGATCGCATCAGAAAGACTCTAAACTAACCATTCGTAGGCATTCCAACCAGTTTTGATGCATACCCTCGTTAGACTAGGTAGGTATGAATTCTAATTGGGGAAGCTTTGGTGGACATCATTCACATGGGGATTTGTGTCCACCAACCACTCTTGGGGGGAGTTTCCCACTATATCAATTCATAGCTAGGTGACAACGGCCATACTGCCAACAAATCCATCAGCATATCCTCGCAGCCCCGTGACCCCTCACCTCCCATGCCGGGCTTGCACTCGCCTTGCATGCTGCGCGCGCTGCGAGCGCATGCGCGAGGGGTGCGGCCGGGAGTGTGTTTCAGGCCGGGCGCGTGCTAGGCCCAGAGAGCTCTGCTTATTCTTAGCAAGTTCCACTGCCTCACCAAATGGACCGTCCAGAGCATCTCTTATACAGAGCGAACTTGGGACACTCCGTTTTGAGCTCGTGACAGAGTCAAAAGACCAAGTTTAGGTCTTCGGCTGTCGTGCATTTTTCAAGAATACTGGTTCTTTGCATTTTCGCGACGGATTTGACTCCTGGATGTGGCCCTGATGCTGTTTGCAAGGAGGGGGCCATATGTTGCGTAGGGTGTGCAAAGGATCCGACAGGCCCTTGAGACAAACTATTTGGAAGTCGGTCGTTTGCGGGACAAGAGTCCCATTCTGATCCGTGCCCAGAAGGCGAGACATGAAACCATGGCAGCCCGTCCCTCCTTCTGAATATTCCTCGGATTCAAGACGCTTCTGAAGTCCCAGGGCCAACTTCCAATATCTTTGCAGGCATCCTTTCCACAAGACGTCGTGCTCACTTTGAAAGATGGTCTAAAAGATTGATTCGCCCCTGTCAACGGATGCATTCAGCCTGGCGAAAAGATATAAGATGTACACCCCTTCTCACTCCCGGGATCAACGGATCAACCTTTGGGTACGGATGCAAACTTGGGACAGGCGAAATGCGAAATGCCATTTTGGGTACTGAATTACTTGAGGTTGACTTCAAAGTGCAAGCAATAAACAGCAAAGCTTTGTCGAGGTATTTGTCCATCGATTGCTTTGCGGTGGAGGTCACACAGATTATTTTTGTCGTGATAGTTTTGCGTAAGGGTTGTTTGCAAAAGGTCGATGGACTGATGAACCATGTGTATTTGCCGGCACTGCCTGAGGATTGCCGCAAGAATGCGTCACTGCAAAAGTAAACACGAGCAGAACGCAGCTGTCTGGAGCTTTCAGGCCGAGTTGAGCACAGCTTCCCAGCCGGATTGTTGGAAGCGTTTGGTGGCGGATCTGCTCGACTTTCGAGCTTGGACTTCGGAAGTGTACTTCGTTGACTGTTTGTGGTGAGCATAGCTTCATGAAAGCTCCGCGATAGAGGTCTTTGAATATTGTTTCTTTTTGTTTTGAAAGCAAATCCTGCGAAGATGGGCTTTCCGGGACAAGGATCTGAATATCGCCACCGTTTGAGGCCGACGTTTGTTGTCTTCACTCGGATCCGCCCCCCCCCCCCCTTCCCCCCGGTGCAGTTTATCCAGGCATGGCGCGGACGTGGCCGGGTTGGCCAAGGCAAAGGCTGGGAGAGCCGAAAGCCAAAAGGACATGCCGTAAAAAGAGGGCAAGAACCCCACCCACGTCGATTCAGCTTCGAAAGTTCCTCGAAACGAGTTCCCTCGTCGCAGTTCCGCTTGAGCAAATTCCCCTGGGACTTCAAGGTCAGCGGCTTCGATGTTCTCGTTTGTGCATCCGTGTGTCCGAAACCTCTGCAACCATGGGGCCAAGCGCTTAAGCTGCGAACACATGCGAGGCATGATTACCAGTGCAGGTTTGAGCAGTTGAGCGGATGAACCTGGGCAAATCTCACCTGGAGCAAACCAAGCTCAGGCACGCTGAAGGTCCCAGATCGCGTCTTCCTTGATTGAATCATAATAATTTGCCTGGTTGAATACATTGGCATGATCTCATCGTTGGTCAATCTTGTGAACATTGCGTCGGGCGACGGAGGGATCCAGAGTCTAAAGGGGAACCAGCCCTATGAGCTTGTAGCTTTGCGGAGCGGCTTTTTGGTTGCCTTCAACACACTCACACAGCTAACTCAGGTGCTAGTCGAAACTCCAAAGCTACCTCCCTCGCCCAATGTGGACAAGATGCGAACGCACAGCCCGCCAATCAGTCTTTTTTGTTTATTTCGTTTGTGAATTTCGGCCGAGGCCGAATTTCCCTTCGCAGCTTCCGACGTTCAAGAGTGCTCTTGAGCCTTTCCCCTGAGAAAATGCGGGAGCCACCGGAATGGTCTCCTTTGGGGTGGGTCCGGAAAGTTAGATTCCACGCCTCCATCTCCGTGGCCCGGTTGCACGTTGGGCTCGCAGGTGGCGGCGGAGCAAAAGGCAGAGGGCGGCTCTCCCCTGCGGTTTGTGCCGTTTCTGCTCGCGGCCGGCGCCGCGGGGACCGCATTGAGCGGTTGGGACGGGGTCACCAGAGTGAAGGTTGACAAGGTGAACGATTTGGACGGGGTCTCTCCTTCCAGGCAAGCCACTGTGGTAGGTAACCGGGGGGAACCATGTAAAGCTTGGCCAAGACACCAAATTGGTTTACCAGCGGTGGGGCTTGTTTCTTGGGGCCACTTCACAAAGCTTGCCAGTTCTGGGGCTCGAGGGCTCGAAAGTTCGAAACCCTGACAGGTTGACACATTTGAACGAATCCGGAAATCTGAGCCGAAGCAAAGCGTTTTCGGAGCGGAGCGTGGGTTCAGCGGCAGTTCCAAGAACTGGAGCAGAATGGCCTGCAGTGTTGCAGATTTGGCCACAGTGCCCAGACTTGCGTGTGGCTCATTTGGGAGGGACACGTGGGAACTCGCTTAATTTTCAACTCCACAGAAACCACGAAAATTCGTTCATGTCCTGTCGGGGAAACCATGTTTTGACCACGGCACGTATGACTGGATAACAAGCCTGCTGCAATTCAACGTAGAAGTGCTGCTTCTTGCTGCTTCGGCAGAGAGCCGCTCGGCTTGCCGTTTGCCCCATTTGAGGCATGGCGCTGCTTTCGATCCAAGGCAAAAGGTTGAAAGGATTTCAGACACCCATTTTACTAGCGGTCTGGGTGGAAGTGTCAAGAAGTGGCGGATCCGGTCTCTTAGGAAGCCCGGTCCAGTTCCATGGTAAAGATACGCGGCAGCTGACAGGGCCCGGGGAACATGGTACCGGGGTTCTGCTTAGAACATAGAGGCCATATTTTTGTTTGCACCCCGAGAATGTGAAACTCTCAGAGCCCCTCAAGGGCAGTTTTACTTGGACCCTGGAGCCTCTGCATCAGGGTGGCTTGATTTATGCTTGTTGGACCCGAGACCCGCCTATGGCCCAGCGGGGAATCGCCCGTGCGCCCGCATCGCTTCGCCGCTTGAGGCGGGCACCGCGGGCTTCGCCTTCTACGACGGGCTCTGGGTGCCACTGCTGCGGGACGGGCAGAGCGCTGAGGAGGCGGTTGAGTGAGCCGGCCGTTTTCGTTTTTTGGGGGGCCAGCTTGTGTGTCTTGTTTCGTTTTGTTTGATTTTGCGGTTTCATCTTGCTTTGTTGCTGGTGTTGTATCATACCGTTTGATTTCATTTTGCCTTGTTTGTGTGTTGTTTCGTTGGTTTGTTGGGTCGTGTGCTTTTGCTGCCCGAGCTGAGCATCGCCCCAGTATCACAAGCCTCTGGGGAGCCAGGCCTTGTCGGCATTCGTACCGTCCGGGTTCCCAGAGGAGAAGGTGACGCCGTTTTCAATCGTTCTTTGCAACCGCCGTTCAAGAGACAGTTCCATTATGTTTGATGGATGTCTGAAAAGTTCTAACGAGCTCACATGGCAGTAAATCAAGGTCACCCGTGATTTCGATGTGTGACGTGGTGCAAGCGGCCAGCTGGCAGGGTGAATTCGGACTTGGATGGATATGCTTGACTCTTTTGTGGGCTCGGGCTTCGCAAAGCTTGCAAGTCTGAGAATGGGTTCGGGTCCTGCTACTTTGGAGTGCGCCTCTCGAACCCAAAAATCCTCCCCACCCTTGAACCACGGGGACGTTAAGGTACAGGCCAGAGGGGGAGTCCAACCCCCCGAGATACCCAAGTTATATGCATCGCATGGTTATTTCATCGCATGGTTATTTGTCCAAATATGGGGGCGCAAAATGGCGGCTTGTCCAATACCGACTTACCGGCTGAACGGCTGAACGGCTGAAAACGACGCGCTTCCGAATCTCGGAATTCTCGGAATTCCCATGGTCCAACGTAGGAAAAGGTCCTTACAAGTATCCAAGCCCCTCGAGATAAACTGTTGTATCCCCTGTTGTGAAAAATATCCGGGTATGTAATTATGTACCCTCAACAGAAAACATGTAACTATGATTGGAGCTTCGCTGAAATCTGGGGACCCCACCTGCCAGACATACCCCGCTCTCCCCAACACGCCACCCCTCCCCACCCTTCGCGAGATCCGAGTCGCGCTTGGCAGGCCGCTGCTGGCACTGAGGGCCTGCTGGACGAAGCGCAGACGCTGGAGGCGGCGCAGCGCCTGCTGAGGGGGGAGGCTGGAGCTGAGCTGAGGGAGGGGGGCAAGGCGAAGCAAGGGGATGGTTTGTTTGTTTTTTTGGGGTTGGGCGGGGGGGGGGGTTGTTCCGTTCTTTGAAGATTAGTTTCATGACGTTGGAGTTTCTGCCATTGCAGGCCCTTCTGTGGAGCTAGCCTGGGGTTTCCACTTCGTTCGTTTGGGGGCGCTTTTCTGGGAAATCAGCTGGCTTTGGAGAGAGGGTTGAATACTATGCCGGCGCAGAAGCGGTTCGCACCAGTCTCTGACGACGCGTTGCTATGGGATGGCCAGAAGGTGCAGTGTCGATGTTGGAACCTTTTCAGCTTGCCAAATCGACTCGTGTTCATGGTATGGGCCTCACCGGAATTGCACTCATGTGGGGTCCCTAAAAAATCGGAGACAACCCACCTTCGGCGGTTCTCAAGAGGCCTATGAACAAACAAAGCGGAAGAAACCTGAATACTCTGAAAGGCCCCATAGAACAATAGAGATGGGCAAATTAGTGACTCCCCTCCCCGTCCCCCCCAAATTCACACGACCGGCCCGAGCCGCCGAGCCGTACGCGGGACGCGGGACAGGTGGCGGTGCTGGACGGCGTGCTGTCCTCCGATGCGCTGAAGGAGATCCGGGAGGAGCTGCGCCTGCTGGCGCCTCGGCCCTTTCTGCCTACGGCCGGAGGGTTTCTCGCAGGCAGGCGTGTGTCTCACTCCCTGAGTTCATGGACTCCCCCACGTTGAAGCCATAGTGGCAGACAACATGAATGTTCTTTTTGGCCGAAGTGACGTTTGAAGCGCATGAAATGGAGTGTTTGGAGTTGGTGCCTTGTTCAGCTCGGTTTAAAGGGGGGGCCAACGGAAACCTTATCCAATTTGCTCGGCCCGCCTATTTTGACTCAACCCATGTAACTCCAGCACAAATAGGTTTACAAGCTCAAGCTCACCGATTCGGTCCTTTGTATTTTTCCGTGAATATTGCTTTCGATATATTATGTGACAACAACTCAAACTCATGAATTTACATTGCAGTGGCAAACATTCCTGGAATGCAACTAATTAGTCTAAAAGAAACAGCAAACAGCATGTATGAACAATTGTATCATAGTCGCAGTAGCAGTGGTAGTGGTAGTGGTAGTGGCAGTAGCAGTTGCAGTAAAGGTGGCAGTGGCAGTGGCAGTAAAGGTGAAGGTGGCAGTGGCAGTGGCAGTGGCAGCGGTAGTGGAAGTGGTAGTGGTAGTGTTAGTGGTAGTTGTCGTAGTCGTAGTCGTAATCGTAGTCGTAGTCGTAGTTGTAGTCGTAGTCGTAGTCGTAGCCGGAGTCGTAGTCGCAGTCGTAGTAGTATTAATAGTAGCAGTAGTAGCAGCAGTAGTAGTAGTAGTAGTAGAAGAAGTAGCAGTAGTAATAGTAGAAGTAGCATTAGTAGCAAAAATGAACTGCTGGCAGTAATCATGTTCATGCTGATGCTGTGGATGTTGCCATTCCTGAGGTGGGTGTTGGCCTTTCTAGTGACTCACAAACAAGCTTGCAGTCAGGCCATTTAGATATTGTCGTGAAACGCGCTTGCACAAGGCCGCGGAGCGGAGAAGTTGTGAAGCTTCCCTCGCCTGTCTTGCCTTGAACATCTTGAAGTTGTTGAGGTTATTTGCCCAGACGTAACTGTGTGTGGTGTAGCGTAAATAGTATTTACACACTTGAAAGTGATCATTTGCTTTCGGGGAATCGCACAAAACCTGTTTACGAATTGATGCTTTTGGGAACCCTTTTTGGTGTGGGTGGCACGTCCCCTCATATCACAAGATCACGAGCCACATGTTGAGAGTTTTGATGGGTGTGTATTCTTTGAGAGGGGTTCAAAAGTGGCCCAAAACGAAGCCGACAATTTGTTGGGCCCATTTTCTCGTTTTGAGACAGGCTCGATTTGGGTTTTAGCATGGGTCTTCATATGTCTCCCTTTGGGGTTGGTCTGAGGACATTGGAGCACCTTTTTGGTTGCCAACGTTGATTGTCTGAGGCGACAAGTTGGTGAGGACGACCATGCGATTGGCAGTGACAGAATGAATACAAGCCTTTGGATCCCAAGTATTCATCCGTGCGTAAAGTAAATGGACCCCTGTTGGTGGAACCAAAAAGAAACAGACCACGTTGGGGGGTTTGCAATTTCTTGAGGACGCCCGGCAAACCAAGTAGCATTGTCAGTTGAAGCAGAAAGCCGAACTACTGCCGGATGGACAAACACCTGGCCACAACTACTGCCGTAAACTGCCTTGGTGCGAAGTGGATTGTGTCAGATGGCAGGAGAGGTGGAGACTGGCGGGGCCCGGCGACCACACTTGTTGAGTGTTGTTTTGGCAAGGGGTCCTGTAACTGGGTTCACCAAAGTGGCATCCTGAAAGCTACCCTCTAAAAAGGTGGTTTTATGTCCCCCCTCCCCCCTTTCCCCCCCCCCAAATAAAAAAAAAGCAAAATCAGAAAGCAAAAACGCAGAAAGCAAGAACGCAGCAGCACCTGTTGGACCATCCCTCAAAATGCCTCCGAGCTGGGGCTCAGGCCTCTGCGGGGGGCCTGCAGCCCAACCCGAAGGTCCAGGCCGGGAACGTGGAGATCCGCCGCTCAAATGGCCCGGGCAGGGAGGGGGTCCGCAGTTTGAGGCCGCGATTTCCTATGAAAAGCATATCCACCAAAGGGTCCACAATTCAGATTCACACCCAAATATCAAATAACGCTTTGGGGGGGGGATCCCTGTTAAGGCCTGCATGCTAAAATGAGACCTGAATTTCATAGGGGGTGTTGCCTTGTGCTGGCCGGGGCTTTGGTTTCCTCTTTGCTAGCCAAGCGCGGTCACAGGATGGGTCATGTTTTTCGGGTCTCAAGTTTTGGGTCGAACCACGCCCGCCGTGGATGTCTTCTTCCTCGGCCTTCGGCAGGCTGGCACAGCTGTGCTGGAAACCCTTTGGGCTTTTGATATCAGGTTCAGCAGACTTCTGCAAGAGAATCCGGCAAGGAACACGAGTTTTCACACGCTCCATGAGTGTCACTGGAACAGGCAATCGAGCAGCCATTTATCAGTATTCCCACGAGGAGAATTATGCCCAAGCCCACAAAACGGGAGCTCGAGCATGACGCTACTCTGGGTATTTCCTGATATGATATGGACCCCCGGAATGTCCTTTTGAAGCTTGTTTGGGTGCCGTCCAAAAGTCCATTGAACAAACATGCGACTGAGGAACGGACCAGGTGTGCTACTTGCGCGACCCGTCATCCTTTACACCTGTGGAGATGGAAGGTGCGGATAGCTCTTCAGCCTCTGTGGGGACCCGGGACCCCGAAAGGTGTGGGAACAGTTGCTTTGAAGGCAATCTCAATTGAAAGCCGACTCGTCTCAGGAGGTTCAATACTTGTCAACCTGCTTTGTGCGCTAAACTTGGCCCACATCTAGCCTACACAGTTGAAACATATTGTCAAATGCGGCAAAATGGGATCAACCGCTTTGTTTGTCCATTCTCATTGAGGCTGACTGCTTCGTCTGAAGATGGGGCCCCTCCTTCATTCCGTTGGTCAATGAGATGTGGCTGTGGGTCAACACCAATGGTACCATTTTGGGGTAGGCGCGCCACCCGTTTGAGTCTATTTTAGTGGTTGGATTGGGATGTTCACTGGGGGTACGATTTGGATTTTGACCCATGGCCATGTGCCAAAAATGCTCGAGGCGTATTCCGCCCGCCTCTGGGGGGTCCCCGGCTGCGGCGCTGTCACCGCGCTCTGCGGGCCACTGGGGCACAGCTGGAGAAAGGCGCTGGACGCGCGGGGGCGGGGGGGCGGTGGGGCGGTGGGGGTCGCTTCCCTTGTCTCCCCCGTTTTGTTTGCTTTTTTTTTTTCAGAGGAGGTGTGCCTTGTAAACCGGCTGCTGCCCATTTCCTGTTTTTTTCTAAAAAAAAAGTGGAGGTTTTTTCCCTGGTCAACTACCAGACAGTGGGCCTCCTTTTTTCCCCCCGCAGTGCTTTGTTGGGTTAGCATAAACTACCAAACAAAAGGTGCCCTGACTGGAGGCTTGTCATCTGGGTGCGAAATAGCAAGCATGTTTTTGATTTGCCCTTTTTCAACGTTCCAGGGGATGGATGTTGTATTTTTTTGGACCCCCTATTTAGCACCCAAGTATTTGGTAGAGCCGAAAGGAAAATGCGTGCTTTGCCCCTTCTTGTTCATGTCTTAGGGGAAACCACAAAACTGGTTGGTTTGCTTCAACCTTGTTGGCCGAATCCTGCCAGAAGCGGCCGCGTTGGGCATTCTTAACACGGGGTAAAGAACAGAGAGCGCCCGCACCCAGCGGCGTTTCTTGCCGGGCAAATCGAGGCTTCGCGCGGGCGGCGACGCCACGGAAGCTGATTGTGACGGACTGGAGCCAACTGGCGGGGTTTCTTAGCGATGGAGCGGGGCTGGGCGGGGAAATGGGTATGTATCACTTGGATAGATTTTTGCAACAACCTCGCCAAGAGACGTTTCGACCTCACCCACGAGGCTTTCTTTCGTAGGGAACCCTTGTGTTGGTCATGAAGTAGAATAAACAGAGACCGATTTCTCCCTGATCCTTGTCTGCAGGGTACCCTCAGCAAAAAACACAAACCCAACAGCAACTTCTGGAGGGTCGAAGGAGGCATCGGAGGCCGCTTCCCTCCAGCAGCACCTGGGAGGGTACTTGGAAGATCAGTTGCTTTTTGAATGTTTGGAAGTTGCTATGTTAGTGGGAGAGAGGGTGATGTTGTTTTTCCAAACCCCAAAGTGGTCATGATTGTTTTTCTTTGTTTGGTGGCACCTTGAGCAAATGGACATTGTGGAAATGAGTTGCTTTGGCCCAGTTTCTGTGATACCAACAACACTAGTCAGGAGTTGAGCATAGGTGGGCTTATATAGGGTTTGGGCTTGTCGCGCTCAAGGGTTGCATTCGCAGCTGGTTCTTGGAAGGACCGATCGGCAATGTGACTGCTTGTCGTTATTTCATTTTATATGTATTGGCCTCCATCGGAGTGCCATTTGCCTCACAGCTCGTCTCCTTGCCTCACGTCTCGCCATGTGGGAGAACCTTTGATTGAATCTCGGAACTTGTTTTTTGTGGGTAAGAAAGCGGGGGGGGGGGGGGGTGTACCATGTCCCACGTCAACCCGTCGGACAGTACAATAGTACAATGCCTCCCGGGGCCCAGGCTCAGTACGTGGATGGCAGCGGGTTCTACAAGTGGCACACCGATGGCCCTGCCCCCGGGGCCCCGGCTCGGGTTTTCCTTTGTTTTTTTGGTGGATCGTCAACCTCACTTGAGTTTCTGGTGCCGTGGCGATTCGATCGCGGGCAACGGGTGAGGAATGCTCACTTTGTTTCAGACGCGGTGATTCCTGTATTTCTTTTTTTGGAGTGGTTTTAAACAGCACCTTCCGGCCAATTTGTTTAGGTGAGTTTCACCAGGGGCGATGTTAGCATCTTGAGGGGTTGAGAAGGGAGGATGCACCTAGGCCTGGACGCGAAAAGCCTCGGCTTTGGGCCCAGGTCGCGGGGAGCCGACGTGAAGCATGGGCTCCCCATGTTTCCGCCTGGTGGATTCAAATTTGGGGCCCACTTGAAGCGAACTGAAGTGGGGTGAGGTTCCAGGCTGTTCCAGGGGAAATTTGGGGAGCCCCGTGTTCACCTGTCGAACTCAAGCTTTGGATGGCGGGGCATTCATGGGGCTTTCCCCTTCAGGGACTTGAGCTCAAAGCCGGCGGAAAGAGAGGGAGCTTTGACTTGACCAATTCTTCACAACTGGGGCTATTGTTACTTTCACTTTTTGCAGCCGAGGGATTTGGTCAAGACTCTTAGAAGGTATCCTGAAAGTCTAGCATCTCAAATGCTGCACACCAGCTGAAGATGCACCATGGGCGCTTTGTCCAGTTGCAATGAAGCCAGTGGGTCAAAGGGCACGGTCCCAAGGGGCGATCAGCCGAGGTATGGGATGCATTTTCCAAAACAGGGAGCCAAGGGAGGTTTGGCAAGTTGTAAACCAAAGGAGATAGCTAGTTGTTGCATTGGTTCCAGACCCAGTGCCTCAACATGAGGTATTACTCTGAATCGCAACATGCGGAACCTAGTGTGCACCAAGGAGTGCCATTTGTTTGATTCCTACATGTACGCATGGCAGCTTGCAACTCTCTGAAACTGCGCCGGGGAGGGCTTAGCCACTACGCGATGAAAATGATGCTTTCTGTGACGCCTTTGCCGCGGGATCCCAGAAGTGTTCGTGTCAAAGGGGGACAACAGAGCGATCCCACAAGCCGCCCCCAGCGATGTATCCGCCAGGCGTGCGAAATCTAAACCGCGACCCCACGAATCCATCAGAGGGTCCCAATCAGAGGGATATGGTCTTCCACTGTCGACACGACACTTGCCCCTCTTTATTATTTAATTTGGGCTCCTTTTTCCTGTGTCTGCAATTGTTTGAGGCTAGTCACCCCTTCCTCCACCGTCAAGCAAGTTTTGAGGTACCCGCACCCAGGAACTTGTCTGCGAGCCTCTATGGATTTCAGTTCTCCGAGTATTCGTACAAAGACTGAGGAAAGGCTGTCGGTAACCGTCCGGGAATAACATGTCTTCACCGACAGCTTTGTCCTTCTCCAAGTTGGGTTTTGTGTCGATGTCCCTTCCAAAGCCAAGCGGCCCAAGTTGAGAGAAAACCTGCTTGTGCCCCCAGTTCTGAAAGGAACATTTCCGATACAGCATTCTCTCCTCGTTTCCGCGCGGAGGGCCTGGTACCTTTGGCTCCAGCTGGGAGCGTTGAGGCTGGGCTGTTTCGTGTCTTGCTCATACAGAAGGCTTGGGCACCCTTAAACCAAACGTGGTTCGAACCCAGCGGTTTGGTGTCTACCAGAGGGGGCGTCGGAGATGCCAGCGAGACTTGAGTCCGTGGATAAAAACGGCATGAAGAACAGGCAGGTTAATATGAAAAGACTTGTATTGCACAGGGCAATCCCTGGCCTAGCGAGCCGGAGACAAGCTCTACGCCATGAGCTACTCAATGTTGATTACCATCTTCCACCTTGAGGCAAGTGAATCTTCGTCAGGGGTTCGCCCGCAAGTGCGGACAGATACCCGCCCCTTAATTTTTTTTAACTGGGTTTTGGGCAAATCAGGGCTCGCTATATTTCCCGCCATATTTCCCGCTTTAAGATCACCACACCAAAAGGAAACTCACTTTCAACTTGCCGATAAGGTGATGTTTCAAACCACCACAACCCTGTAGATTCCTTTGACACCAAAAACCCGCGCCCATACTGTCAATCATGGGCTTGCCTGCAGGCGACGCTCCGTGACTGGCATCTTGTACCTCAATGAAGAGGACAGGTCGGCATGCCGCGTAGCGTCCCAGCGTAGTGCGCTTGAGAAAACAAGGGGCAAGTTTGCCATAGCCGCAAGCTTGTTCTCGCTTGACGCGAACAGCACCACATGTAAGCATCTGGCAAACAGCAGCACATGTAAGCATCTGGCAAAAATCAGTTTGATATTTCTTGGGCTTCAGGCCATGCGATTCATCCCAGCCCCAAACCATAGCCTCCCTCAATTGGGCTTGAGCCCTCATGTTGTTTTCGAGCCAGTGCCTTGGCCTACCAGTGGATCCTCATCCGACGCATCGGACTCAAGTTCGATCCGATCCGAAGAATTCCTTCCATCGCAGGTGGACCGGACCCTAACCGAAGCTTCCCGACTCGGCTTTTCCGATTCGGGGATGCTTCCTATCCTCATTGCGTCTGAGGCTCCTTGTTCTGGTGGAACATGACAGCTATAGTGTCGAAAACTCCTGTATGGCCTTTGGCTTTTGTGAGAAAACCCTATGTATTTTTTGGAACGATCATATCAGAGCCCGAAGTTTTCCTTCTTTGCGAACCCCCGCCTATGTTCTTCCTTCTTCTGGAAAAGAAAACAGCCCCCCCCCCCCCTCCACCCCCTCCACCCCCTCCACCCCCTCCACCCCCTCCACCCCCTCCACCCCCTCCACCCCCTCCACCCCCTCCACCCCCTCCACCCCCTCCACCCCCTCCACCCCCTCCACCCCCTCCACCCCCTCCACCCCCTCCACCCCCTCCACCCCCTCCACCCCCTCCACCCCCTCCACCCCCTCAACCCCCGCAACCGCCGCATCCGCCAGGATTGGCCCAGCTCCGGGGGCGGGGCTCTGCGCTGCAAGGCGCCGGCCGCCGGGCTGCCGTCAGATCGCGACGGGGCGGTGGAGGTGCTGCCGAAGGGCGGGCCCGGGGACCCGGGGACTCGGAGACGGGAGGTGGGAAGGGTTGGGTTTCGAGAGTGGGGATTGGCGTTTCTTCAAGCATGGGGGACCCCTCTATCTTGACAGATGCCACATACCCAAATGGATGTGACATTTATTTTTTTCGGAACCCCCCAAAAACGCCAAGAATGGTGATGTTCCTGTTGGTTTCCTTTTGAAGCAAGTGCCCTCGAGAAAAAAACAAACAAATCTAAAAAAATAGAACAAATCAACACGCCACCTGTGAAGCCCTGCAAAGCTCTGCTGGGTTGTGCTAAGGTTCCTCTAAGAACCGTTCCTGAATGATTTGGGGCAGGTGATTTTTGCTGTGGTTGGGGAGTTTCTACAATGTCCCCCCCCCCTTTGGAGGTTGAAGCTTTACAGCGAAACCACAAGAAAACCGCTGCCATTCTAGGGGCCCGACTCCTATTTTCGAGAACCGCCCTGTGGTAGAATTGGTCCCTGTAGGAACCCTTGTTGTCAAAAACCCTTCAAAGACAACACCCACGGATCGAACACGTTTTTTGACCCGAGCGCTTCTTGGCTTCTCGCCGAGGCGGCTGGTGCTCTTCAACTCCCAGCAGGTGGAGCATGAGGCGAAGACGAATGGCCTGTCTCTGTGGGGTTGACAAGAGAATAGTTGTTTTGTTGACATAATAATTGTTAGTATTAGTGTTATTATCATGTGTCTTTTTTAGAGCTTTGCTTTTAGGTCTTCTTGTGATTCAAGGGTTGACCAAGTGTAGAGCCGTCTGAACAAAATGTGTTTTGTGTATCCAGAAAATGGGCCAAGTCTGGAGAATCAGAGGCTTTTTTTTGGGGGCACGGGCACTTGTCGTGTCATTCAAAGGGCGAGGTTTTGGCCACACCCGCAGTGGTTTGTTCGGCGGATTCGTGCATGAACATTGAGTGAAATGCGAGAACGAGTTGCAGCACATGTTTAGGGTTTAGGGTCAGACCCGTAGCAAAAGCTCAACCTGACACGGGATAACTGGAACATCACCTCCGAGCAGCATCGCTAGAGTTTGCTCCAGTTTGTGTGGCCCCGGCACGGCTGCATACGAACTCAAAGACTGTGAATAATACAACCACATGGGCCTTTTCAATTGAGGTTCGGTATCTTTTTTCGGTTGTTTGGAAGAACAGAACGCCAGGCCGATGTGGTGTTTCTCAAAATGGGTGAAGCCCACCATTTTGTGTGGTTTTTCTTGTGATTTCCTCTTCAAACCGCCAAACAAAGGTGGGATACCCACAACAATGATAGAGGCCCTTCAGATGGTTGGTTCTTTCATTTTCCCTCACACCAACCAGAAGTTATGTTGAGAGTTGAGACATACCCATTTGTCAGGTTGTCAAAAGGTACGTCTGGCTTTTTGGACCAAAAAGGCTGCGCCACTAGGGTCACATGGTGCCCAACTTTTGCAGCCCAGTTTGAGACACACATCCGGCGTTCCGTTGCTTCTTTGCCCTGATATTGCTTATGTCGTGAATGTATATCCCACCCTCTGGGACTCGGGAGTGGTTTGGTGGATTTGGCGTGTCTCAGCCAAGTTGTGCATCCCAGGATGGTTTTGGGATGTCGCACGCCCTCTAAGAGCCGGGGCTTGCCACGGGGTCCTTCTACGCCCCTTCAAACATCACCCCCGTCCCACGGTAAATTCAGAGCCATGGCAAGTGACTATTGACCAAAGTGACCAAAGGAGCACCAAGGGCCAGAGCTTTCCCACGCCCGTGCCCTTTGAAGGTGGTCGCCACACGGCGGGAGCGCTGGGCCTTGACGGCGCGGGTCTCTGGCAGATCACCGGCTGTACGGGCGAGGGAGTGTCCCCGCTTGGTTTTTGTTTTGGCAGTCTGGTAATACACTCCCACCAGCTAACATGCACAGACCCCTGTAGAAAGACTACTTTCCTCTTGGAAAGGGCCTTTTTGCACTTCCATGTTAGTTGGTGACAGGGTATATTGTTTTTTCTTCGGGGATCGTTAAGGGAAGCTACGCCTTCTTACCTGCCCGAGGTCTGGTTTCATGAGTGAGGGCGAGAGCGCCAACTGTACATAGTGCCAAAAAGATTCGCCGCGGCTTGGGGTGGGCGATGTTGGGATTTTCGTGCCCCCTGAAGAACCCAAGGTTGTGTTTTCTGTTGGGCAGGGTGAGCCACCGAAGCCTCTCCGAAACGCGCGTTGTGTATGAAGTCCTGAGGGCATACGTGGCATGAGGAGGCGTGTCGGAAATTGCAAATTGCCAGAGTTGACTCCAACTACTTTCTGTCCCCCCTGGTTGCCTCCGTTGGGTCATTCGGTGGAAATTTGTCCGTTCGATGTTGTTCCCGTGGCAAAGCCCAGATAAAACGGGGTGAGCATAGGGGCCGATCAAGCTGGTAGGAGTTGTCCTTCTTCAAGTGGGCATTTGCAGCTGTCAAGGGCGGCCTATGCTGATTTCTATGAACGTGACGGAGGAGTTGAACTTCAATGCGGATGCTGTTTTGGATGGCCGTGACCAGGGATATTTGAACACTGCGAGCGACTGAAGGCTGGAAACGATGGGTAGTGGGGGAACATAATAGGCCAATGTTGTGAACCATAGCCTTTCTACCCATTTCGGCAAACCAGGCGTTCTGCGTGTTGGGCACTTCTCAACTGATTTTGTCTCACCGCCCAACAACGAAAATCAGCCGGCAGGGCGCTTCGAAGCTTTCTTTCGCAGAGCTGTGGCTCGAGCTGGAACCCTCCAGCTGCTCGATAGCGAAAAAACCGGAGCGCTCGGATTTCCGTGTCGCGCTTCCAAGGCGAGAGCGAAAGTTCCTGTGGGGTTCAGCCGGGGAGGTTGTCAAGAATGGCTCCTCCCGCTGGCACTTGGACTTGGAGGGTGCTTGGAAGATCAGTTTCATGAAGGGGAGCTGTCAGGTGCCGTTTTGTGGGAGGCGAGCTTGCAGTTCAGTGCAGTGACAATCCCCTGGAAGCCGAAGGTGCCATGATTTCCTGGTTGCCATGATTTCCGCGCGCAACCGATTCATTGGACATGACTTTCCACTTCCTACAAAAAGCAGAATCGGACTAAGCCATGTTCGCGTTGTGCAAACAGGCAATCAGAAGTGGGGCGCGTTTAAGGGGGGGGGGGCCTTGTTGGTGTCTCAAGAGAAACCGGGTAGAAATCAATCAAGAATGGTCCAACCTATTTTACGGTACGCCCAGCTATTGGCAAATCAGAGTTTTCGCGGATATCTTATTCTAACTTTGGAATCATAACAGAGCTTAGCAACATTTGCTTGCACGTGCAATTGTCAAGACAGCCGCGGATCTGTTTGCGCTGAACATGCTGCAGCCTTGTCTTGCAAACGTGGAACACCGCGAAGGGCGTGGATTCACATTTAGCATGCATTGGAATGTGATCATTATGTTTGGTCACCCTCCCGCACGTGTAAGGTTTACCATGGCTTCAAACAAGCAAACACACGACACATGGGGGGCAACAACGTCTCGATGAAGCAGCCCAATGGGGAACATATGGCCGGCCTCATTTTGTTTCTGGCAGGTCATGATCCTGAGGCAGCTCATCGCAGCAGCTTGGCAGCGATCCGGTGGCCGTGATCCGGTCCCCCCTGCCCTTTCTGCTTAGGGTTTGGGCTGCAAGGTAGCCCATAAGCAGCAACGCCCACTTGGTCGCTGGGACTTCCTGGAACCAAGTTATGGCCTCAAGAAAGCGACGGGCCTACCTCCCCCAGCAAATTAGTGCCTTAGTAAGAGCACATGTCGCCGGCGACACACACACACACACACACACGAAGAAATCACGCCCCCACTCCTCCGCGATGCAATCTCAAGGTGCACCGGTGAACGAGTTGCGTTTTGAATCCTAACTTTATTTCTGACGTGAGGTGAGGGAGATGAAAGCTGGCACGACAGAGCACGCTTTTGCGCCAGCGCCAATATCTGTTGATACCCTCCAGACCCTCTGCAACTTGCTGACGTCAGCTGCAACTTGCTGACGTCAGCCACGCAACAGTGGAGTTTTGTTTTTGCTTTTCGTCTTCTTTTGAGGGTGTCCTGTTGGGTTTGAAGTGGAACCACAAGGCAGCCGCCCGTTTGGGAGGTTCCTACTTTGAGACCATCCATCGTTGTGTTTTGCTCATTTTGTGGGCGGAGGCAGCCAGGTTCAGCGCGTCGAAAGCACTGGTGATCAATGATCAGACGGATTTGCGATTTCAGATCGTTCCAGGAAACCAGCTGCATGACATTCTACAGGAAATCCTTGTTTTTGTTGGGCATTTGGTGGCTGCTCGCTAGTCTGCAATGGATTGGCCAGGTGGTAGTCTAGACAAAGGCAAATTGCCGATTCACTGCAAGTCATTTTCACCCGCCACTTGCATCATCCATCCGCGTGCTCCTGAGGCGCTGCTGGTCATTTTGCCAGTGGATGCCCGAGGCCTTTTCTCTAAGTACACCAAGGCGCCTTTGGGGGACTTCGAGGGTGAGCTGTCCGGTTCTACGTGTGGAGGGTATTGCACTTCCCCGCCAATGGGTCACGAGTTCGGAACCTTGATGGCTTTGCATTCGCTTTCGTGGCCTTGAGCATTGGAAGTTCTTAGGGGGATGCCTGCAATTGAGTAGCAGATAGGGTACCCCCCTAATTTCTCAGACACTCAGGCATGTGGTGGGTTCCAGCAGTCGGGTTTGTTGAAATAAAAGAACACTGGCAACATTTCGTGCCGTTCTGGTGGGTTCCAACAGGGGTCCATGATTTGGAGAAGTCTTATGCCTGCTTAACATGGAGAACCTCCCGGAGTTGAAAGGACACTTTCGAAAACATCGCACGCGGTCAAGGTAGGTTTTAGTTATGGTGAAGGATTTAGGTTTTCCTTTGAACGCCAACCTACGAGTAGCCTCAAAAAATAATACGCCCGCCTCTGAAGCGGGTGCTTGGTCAATTCGTTTCTCTTCTACCCGATTGGGCGAGGTCTGCCAGTGGTCACGCATGTGCAAGCTTTTGGTTTCCGTTTGGTTTCCTGCAAGCAGCCCAAAGGTGATGCCCCCAAGAACTGAAAGGGGACCTGTCGGATGCCCAGAGTTGCTGAACATCCCCAGATTTGTAATCAGTTACTTAGGCCACTATGGCACTTCCCAGAAAAATTAGGGCTCCAAAAATCATGGGCACAGTTTTGGAATGGCCCCTCGCCCATTCCAATGATTTCAAGCCCCCCCACTTGTCGCACTCGTCAGGTTGGTGTCACGAAAAACCGCCAGGTGCTGCCCTTCAAGGAGTGCACCTGCAACTGCTGCATCCGGGAGCCCAGGCAGCCCGAAATCGGTGGAGCAGAGGGGGGGGGGTGCCAAAGTGGTTGGAGGAAACACAGCAGTTGGTACCCTGAAAGAGGTGCTTCCAAGTTGCGTCTTTTGAGTTGGTACCCTTTTCAGGCTGGTTTGAAAGGATGCCAAGGGAACTTCCCTCATTTTGGGATCCAGCGGTTAGCCCCCGGGGGGGGGGGGGGTGCGTTGGCGGGTTGGTTTTGTTTGGAACCACTAGAACGGGCTTTCAACTTGCGGCCAATTGTGGGTAGGGAACATAGTAGTTCCAACCTTTGAGAACGGGCGCTTCATTTCACCGAAAGCTTGTGGAAGGGGTTGGTTGACACTTCCGTGATTCCAGGGAAGCAAGCCCCCCCCGAGTGAAGGATGAGTCCTCGAAAAGGCCCGTTTTCCAGTGGTACCAGTGTGGTTGCAATTCCCACCCAATGGAAAGGGATGGGTGCACCCCCTTCATTTGGGGCCCCTCATACAGTTGTTCCTTTCTGCAGGGGCATGAGTTCAGTTGGTGTCCTACACGCTTCGCGCGAGGCGCTTCAGCGAGCTCCCGCCAGACGGTAAGGGCTCGAACTTCAAGACGCCCGGCGAAGCCGATGTTCGGTTTGTCCGTCGTTGTGTTTTCTTCCATTTGGCTGGCGGCTTCCAAATGTTTTCAGGACCAGCGAATGAGCAGGGGCTATTCATTTTACCGCAAAGCAACGAGCAGATGAGCAAACCCCAGAGGACTTCGAGCTAGTCGCACTAGTTTAGGCTCAGGCCATGGCCGGGGCTGGCGGTGGCCAAAAGGGAGGTCTCGATGCACCAGCCAGTTTTCTGTTTGTGTTTGTGAGGGTACCCCTTTGGGCTTCTTGAAGGAGACAACAAAAGGAGACTGAGCGTCTCTTTGAGGAGACTTTTTCCCTTTGAAACCAAGTTTGCGGCTTTTCGAGTTGGTACCCTTTTTCTTGTTGGTTTGAAGGGAAACCAATACGAAGCCATCGTTTCAGGGGTCCCCTACTTTGACACATACCCATTTCCAAAGCGGCTCGGTGCGAAATGGCAATCATATTCTTCAATTTTCCACAAAGGAAAGATGCAAGAGCAATTTTAGGGGCTGCCCCATGCAAATGCCACCAAATGGCCCATTTAAACTTACTTTCCCAACGTGTGTGTGTGTGTGTGTGTGTGTGCTGCTTCAAAGACGTGCGAACACGTATGATCTGATTGCTGTTTCTCAGTGAGATGGGGACCGTACCACAAGCTCTTGTGAAGATCCGACGTCCCATCTTGGTGTCACCACAGGTTGGCCTTGGTTCGGGGAGTTTTAGGGGACAAATCCGCCCATTCGTTTGGGTCAACCTGCCAGGGAACCACGGAAAGAGTTTCCAATCCTCCTGAAACTAACATGGCTGGACAGAAGGTTTGGCACACCCTTTCCGATTTCTCCACAAATGGGTGTTGATCAATCTCCCTTGCCCCCAAATGACCATGGGTCATCTTTCCCATTTAGTGAAAGTAATCTTTGCCGTGGTTACCCCAATGGTCATCCCATGAGGACCTTTTCAACCCCCAAATCCCCATGAACAAAATTCTGGACGTTTGGGTCGAGGTGTGCCCTCGCGCCCTCCAGCGACCCCAACTACAGCGCCCTGCAGTGCAACGACCAGTGCACCGTGGTGAACGACCCCATCTTCTTCCGTCGCTCGAAAGGAACCCCTCCAACGGCGAGATAAAAAATGAGCCAATCGGCCCCTTTTGTTTGATGTAGCTTTGCGCGCCAGGCAAAAAGTCATGTATCCACGCCCTTGTTTGGCTGATTTCCCTTGATACTAAGGCATGCAACACGGGGGTGTCCAACTTTGGCCATGAATTTGAACGCCCCCCAAAAAAAAACACAAATAGAACAGAAGAATAGGTGGGACCGAACTCCCGATCTAAATCCACTAATGGTCTGACCAAAACTCGACCAAAGGGTCTCCTTGTCAAATTTCCCATTTGAACCAACGGCTTTGGCCCAGGTTCATCCACGCTCTCCACAGACCGCTTCTGTTTCTACCACTGTGTGCCAACCTCCGGAGGCGATGAGCGGAACCGTTGGGTAGAACCACGGTTGTTGTTGGGAAACATTTTACATTTTTGCTTATTGTGGTTTAGTGGGAAATCCCCACTTAACTGCTAAATTTCCCCTTCCAACGTCAACCAAGGAACATTGGCGTAATTCTCTTTGGTTTGTAGAACAACATGGTGTAGCTTCCTTTGGTCTCCCTGTGCCAGGGATCGACACTTGAGCCTTTTTGGGCAACCCTGTTGATGGCAGTCGGAGACGGCTGGCGTTTTTTGGCCTCGCCTTGAAGTGGGTGAGAAATGAAAGGTAGCCCTCTTCTGGCTGGTTTAGACAAAGGAAACAAGCAGAGAACACTCATGTTGGCATCAGCAATACTTGAGTGCAACACTTGTACGACAGTCTGAGCCTGTTCTTCTCCCACGCTTTCCTTCTCGGTTTAGTTTCAATTCACCTTCAATCCCTGGAACCGTTATTGTGATTTTCTTACCGGTTTCCACTTGGGGTTGTCCTGTTTTGAGGGAACCTATGATCCAATGGGTAGTTTTAAATCCTTTGGCTTCCATTCAAAACAACCCCACACAGGCACCCTCAGCAAAAAGACAGTCCAACATGGTGGTTCGCCCTTGGTTTTCGTTTACATTTTCCTTTAAAACCAACCAACAACCAAAAAGGGGTTGCCTTGCGAACAATAAATACATAAATAGATAAATAAGTAAGTAAATACATTATTAATATTAATAATACTACAAACAAGAAAACAATACTAATAATAGCAAAAATAGAAATAACACCACAATAATAATACAAATAATAATAATAATAATAGCAATAATAATAATAGCAATAATAATAATAGTAATAATAATAATAACAATAACAATAATAACAGTAAAAATAATAATAATACTAATAATAATAGTAATAATAATACAAATAGTAATAAGAGTAATAATAATGTTAATAATAATAATAATTATAATACTAAGAATAGTAAACACACATAATACTTATTATTATTATTAATAATATTAATAACATTAATAAAAATGATAATGATAATAATCATAGTAATAATAATAATAATAACAATAACAATAATAATAATAGTAATAAAACTAAATAATAAAAGTAATAGTAATAGTAATACTAATAATAATCATACTAAGAATAATAAAAAGTAATACTTATTTTTATTATTATGAATAATATCAAAAATAAGGATAATAATGATAATAATAATAGTAATAATAATAATACTACTAATAATAATAGTAATAATAATAACAATAACAATAATAATAATAGTATTAATAATAATAACACACACACAAGCAACAAAAACAACGCTCCCACTTAAACACCCAGTTGTTTTTTTTTAGGCTCCGCCTCCGCAGTGGTGGCGGCCGCGAAGAACCAGGCGCGGGAGATGTTCCTTTGCGAGGGCAAGGGAAGCCATGGGCGACCCCGAAGAACCAACGACCATTGAAACGGGGTAGTACAATAATTTGTGGAATACCCTCAGACCAAGTAATTGGTGATAGCCTTTCAATACTAGCTAATTCAATTTGAGTGGGGTTGTGTGTCCGTAGGGTATTGTTTGTAATTGTTTAGGCACAAGTATTGGAGCAAGCAACGTTGAGTCATAGTTAGTTTTTGCTTTGGAGGGGGCTAGCAAGGGTGGACAAACACCGATGAGCCATTGTTTGGTTCACATGTGTTGATCAGGGGGTTGACACGTCTTGTCGTGTGATGGTGGCGCCTCCGCACAGATGCAAACCGGCATCCACAGGCGCACAGATGCCCACAACCGCTGACCAGCCTGCTGCAAACATGCGAACGCACCTCTTTGATCTCCATCCTTGGAACACGCCCTCAGCTTTAACACTCCCTTTTCATCCAAAGGTCTGCTTCTGCTTTAGTTTCCCTACGAACGCCCCTCGGCCGGTTTTGCCACGGCCCGTTTGTTTGGCGTCTTTTTCCATGTGGGTGTGGCTCAAAATTCAAGAGCCAGGGCAAACCGCAGGTTTTAGTCTTTGGTTCCATGTACCAAGGGGGTCATTTGGTACATCTATTTGAGCCACAGCCATGTGTTTCTTTAGGACCAGCGAGCGCTGGAGAACGGGGGCTCCCTGCTGGACGCCGCCTGCGTCTCCGTGCCGGAGGACAAGTTGGCGCAGGCGGACGCCGATCCGACGGGTGCGACGCGTGCCCTTGGGGCTTGAAGCACCGGAAGCGGAAGTGAGAGGCGTGTTGTTGTTTTTTTCTCTTTTGTTTTTTTGGGGGGGGGGAATCTCTTTGCAATACCGAGCGAAAGCCCCCGGTTGGTTGTTGTGCTCGGCCTTTCTTTGTGGAGCCTGTAAGAAGATCTAAAGGGGGCCGCGGTTTTGATGCACATGCTCCTTTCTGCAAAGGCACGTACTCAATGTTAGTCTCTGACCCTGTTCATTTTGGTGCGGTTGGCACAGCCGGCCGGCTTTCGCATGTTTCAGTTCTTTCCCCAAAAGCATTGCCAAGGGTTCTTCTGGGGACTTTTGCTGCTGTAATTTGCTCGCGGATGAGTCTTGAGAAGTTGTCTCGAGGTGAGTGCAGACACCGAACACACACCCAACTAGGTGTTCGGTTTTTGCTTGGCTAGCAGGCAAAACAACTCGGTGCAGCACGCGCCGATCACTATACCCTCTCGGCCCGTCGCAACAGAAAGCAGCAGAGATTTGAAGTGACTCGCTATGAAAGCCAGGAAGCTGGTCCTCTCCAAACTAGTGGGCCATGCTCTCAAGGAGCTTCCAAACCAGCGGGACATGTTGCTTGAGAAGCGGCAGGAAGCACAGTCATCAAGCCTTGACACAAAGGAGCTTCTGGCAGGGCGCCAGGACCCGTATCAGGCAGAAAAATGATGGGCCCCACTACTCGAAGGTGGCCCAGAAAGTTGAAAACTCCAGGATCCAGAAACTAGCGCATCTTAGGCTCGGGCAAATGTGAACCTGTGGAAGCGGGAACTCGGTGAACTCCCAGTGTAGGGATCTCGAAGTTGAGAAGGCACTTGTTGAGCCCTTTTCCTGAAAAAAGCAACGTATGACACCAACCAAGGGCCGTTCTATGTCTCAATATCTCTGAAGATGCTCCATGTGAGAATGCTAGACCCTGCCATGCGATACTAATTCCTGCTTGGATTAATGTAGGCCTATTTCGGCTTTCGATTGAAGCCATCTATTCGTGTTTTGTTGGTTCAGTTCACATCAACCATGGTTCAAACTATGCCCTTCCCCGTCACGGAGACTTTTCCCCTCTGCTTTTTCCCGGACATTTCGGGCGATTTCCCGCTCGATTCGATGGACAGGCGATCAGCCCAGACGGCAACGGACAGGACGCCTACCTGGTAGCATGAGAACGGATCAGTTTCACCACAGGCGGAGATTGAGAGGCACAAAGTGACATGAGGGGAATATGTAGCCAGGGTTTTTTCTTAACATGCTCCTTTTTGTTTGGGGGGGGGTATCTTCACCTAGTTTTGTCCACAAACCCATTCAAGTGCCTTGGCCCAGATCTGGCGTGCGGGCTGGCAGGTGGCTGCTAGTGACCGTTGAGAGGCCAAACGGCCAAACGGCCCTCGGAGAAAACGGCGTCGAGATGCATCCGGTTTTCCCAGGAACCCCGTCGACCCCAAAATTGAGCGGGATCCCCTAGTGGGGCTTTCCCTCAAGGGACCCTGGCAAAAAAATACTTCGGGGGTTCATTGATCAGAGATAGCCAGAATTCGACATGTCACCCGCACAGGGGGCCTTCGGCCAAAAACGAAGGTGTTGTCATTGCCGGCAAGCCCTCCGTTTCGCCGAGGATGCATTCCGGCCTGAGGTCCATGAGCTCTAAGGCCCGGTTTGCTCTGCCAGTGTTTGGATGTTGCCAGAAATTGGGGCTTCCCTTCTGGATGGTTTTGACAGGAATACGGAAATAGAGAGCCAATCATTTAGGGAATGATCATTTGACTTTTGTTTGCATCTGAGTGCTTGGCCTCAATTGGGTTCCTTGGGGTGTTCGTCCCTTCGTCCACCAAAGCGGTGTTCGGCGGCTGGCTCAGCGACCTTGCGCGACTCGCGCCCACGTTTTCCTCGTCGCCCGCGTGAACAATTCGCGCGATGGCCTCGACTGCGCTGCTGGAGAAGGTGGGCGCCCCCTTCGAACGCCTGGCGCGTCAGCCCAAGGCACGCGGGCGACGGCGATGTTTTTTTTCTTACCGCGGCAGAAGGGGTGGAGGGCGGCGATCTATCTGGGCCGTCTTTTTGCTAGGCGGGGAAACAAGCATCTGGAGCTGACTCGTTTTGATGCACAGAGATCTCTTCCCAGATCTAGCCGGGCATAAGGAAGATGGATGAGCAAGAACAGGGGTTCCTATCAGCATTTCGTGCCACCTTCGTTGGTTTTCTCAGGCTTCCCCTTTGACAGCACGGCTTTCAAGTGTGCCTGGAGTCCACCGATCACAGGTTGAAGGAGGGCCAACCACTTGGTCACCTGGTTGTCAAGTTACTTGTAGCAACCAGATGGTTCTGAGTCGTTCCTCTTCCTTTTGGACTCTCTTCACAAGGATCGCTTTTGTGTTCGCCTTGGGAATCGTCTGCTGACATGGGAAGGCGCAATAGACTCAGTCTCCTTGTGGTGGATGCTCACCAGAGCAAGAGCAAGGCAACTCATTGAGGGATTGCTGCCTATTGTCACCTTCCCAAAGATGCTGAGCAAAGAAGTGACCCATCCAGAAATTTAAGAACATAGCTTACCCGTGGAGACTCGTGCTGCGAACTTAGCCTATTGAGAAGAGGGTCATGTTCCTGCATGTTTCAATTTCATAATTTCATGGCGCAATCATTGGTGTGTCACCCCCCCCTTCCCATTTTCTGCGTGGTGCACATGTTCATACAAGCCAATGTGCAAGCTTTGGGAAAATGCATTCCTTCAAGGTAGAGCAAGAGAGAGGCGCTTCAGTTGGGAACCCGAACAAAATGGGTTGGTGGAGACACACACACACACACCATGCAAATGGTGTTCAACAGGGTCCCAACTACAATTCAAACGCGTATGTTTCGATCAGGGAGATGAACCCATGAATCCCCGGTTCCCCACAGCCACAAAACCCGCCTGGGGTGTTGCACTGGCAGGTTGCCCGGTACATTGCGGCAGTATCGCAAGCTGGAGACAGTCCCAAAGTGCAGGAGACCCTTGAGAGTCTCAAGCCCTTTGCGCGCCTGAGCTCAAGAAAAACGCCCCTATGTCATCCTTGTCCATTTTTGTTCTTCTTGTTTTTTCATTTTCTTTCTGCAAGCTGGATTGTTTTTCCGCATATTACGGGACATCATGTTCGAACGGTTTGCGCTTGCCATGTTGGACATCAAGCGCAGTCTATCATTTTATATGGAGACTGCCAAGGGTTTAGGACACCCCTCAACGGCCGAAGAGGCGAAGGTTGACGTGCGACGTCTGCTGAGCTTCCAAACTTTCGCGCGGACATGCACGCCGCACGACATGTTGTGCGGACGGAGGGGAATCCGTGCATGCGGCCGCGGAAAAAGTTGCCCGAAGAAGACTGACAACCTGTATAGTCTAGTTTTTGGACACAAATGACACGCCATTGCCAAACAACACGGACCTAGCACACACTGACACTGGCAACCCAAACTCACATAGAGCAAGAATGCGAAGCAAAAGTACACGCCAACTAGCGCACACACACACACACACACACACACACACACACACACACACACACACACACACACACACACACACACACACACACACACACACACACACACACACACACACACACACACACACACACACACACACACACACACACACACACACACACACACACACACACACACACACACACACACACACACACACACACACACACACACACACACACACACACACACACACACACACACACACACACACACACACACACACACACACACACACACACACACACACACACACACACACACACACACACACACACACACACACACACACACACACACACACACACATTACTTCACACACACACATTCGCACACACACACACACATTCACACACATTCACACATTCACACATTCACACATTCACACATTCACGTTTCACACATTCACACATTCACACATTCACATTCATTTCCCCACACATTCACACATTCCACACGTTTCACACATTTCACACATTCACACATTCACACATTCACACATTCACATTCACACATTCACACATTCACACATTCACACATTCACACATTCACACATTCACACATTCACATTCACACAACATTCACACATTCACATTCACATTCACATTCACACATTCACACATTCACACATTCACATTCATTCACACATTCACATTCATTCACACATTCACACATTCACACATTCACACATTCACACATTCACACATTCACACATTCACACATTCACACATTCACACATTCACACATTCACACATTCACACATTCACACACACATTCACACATTCACACATTCACACATTCACATTCACACATTCACACATTCACACATTCACACATTCACACATTCACACATTCACACATTCACACAACACATTCACACATTCACACATTCACACATTCACACATTACACACACATTCACACATTCACACATTCACACATTCACACATTCACACATTCACACATTCACACACACATTCACACATTCACACATTCACACATTCACACACATTCACACATTCACACATTCACACATTCACACATTCACACATTCACACATTCACACATTCACACATTCACACATTCACACATTCACACATTTCACACATTCACACATTCACACATTCACATTCACACATTCACACATTCACACACAACATTCACATTCACACACATCACACACGCACACACCTTCACACATTCACACACACATTCACACACACATTCACACATTCACACATTCACACATTCACACATTCACACATTCACACACACATTCACACACACATTCATACATGTCACACATTCACACATTCACACATTCACACATTCACACATTCACACTTCACACATTCACACATTCACATTCACACATTCACACATTCACACATTCACACATTCACACATTCACACATTCACACATTCACACATTCACACATTCACACATTCACACATTCACACATTCACATTCACACATTCACACATTCACACACAAACATTCACACATTCACACATTCACACATTCACACATTCACACGTTTCACACATTCACACATTCACACATTCACACATTCACACATTCACACATTCACACATTCACACATTCACACATTCACATTCATTCACACATTCACACATTCACACATTCACACATTCACACATTCACACATTCACACATTCACACATTCACACATTCACACATTCACACATTCACACATTCACACATTCACACATTCACACATTCACACATTCACACTCACACATTCACACATTCACACATTCACACATTCACACATTCACACACACATTCACACATTCACACATTCACACATTCACACATTCACACATTCACACATTCACACATTCACACATTCACACATTCACACATTCACACATTCACACATTCACACATTCACACATTCACACATTCACACATTCACACATTCACACATTCACACATTCACACATTCACACATTCACACATTCACACATTCACACATTCACACATTCACACATTCACACATTCACACATTTCACACATTCACACATTCACACATTCACACATTCACACATTCACACATTCACACATTCACACATTCACACATTCACACATTCACACATTCACACATTCACACATTCACACATTCACACATTCACACAGTCACACAGTCACACAGTCACACAGTCACACAGTCACACAGTCACACAGTCACACAGTCACACAGTCACACAGTCACACAGTCACACAGTCACACAGTCACACACACACACACACACACACACACACACACACACACACACACACACACACACACACACACACACACACACACACACACACACACACACACACACACACACACACACACACAAGCACAGCAACATGAACATCGAGCGCCAACGTCTGCCAAGCAGAAGGACGGGACCGCTGTCCTTTGCCATCTGCAGACCGAGCTCTTGATCGGACGGGCGCATAGTGCGCGGCGAAAAGGACGATGCCGGCGTCTTGAAATCGTTTCGCTTCAGTTGCATTTTCTGACAAAGGACTCACCTCCAATCTCGCGCTGGACTTGGTATTCAGTTTGTCTCATATGCTTGCTGTCTGGCGCATGCTGGATCAGCTCGGGCATGCTGGTCTCAGTGCCATCCCATGTGGCCAGCTTGCGTCCTGTTTGCACCATGCTCCAAACCATGCTCCACACACTCAATAAGCCCTTTTCCAGATGCGTCGACTTTCCCGCACCATCTTGGATTTGAGTTTGCAGCTGGCACGAGGCTACGTCCCATTGCAATGGAATAGAAGAGGCGAAGACACCCAATCGAGGGTCATGGCGCACATGACGAGTTGACGGGAAGTGGCTGCTTGGTGCCGCAGCCCTGAAAATTGCGCTTTGCCCTCCAGCTATTTCCTAAACATGCTTGGACAATCCATCAAGATCCGAGCGTAGGCACCTGACCTGTCCCTTATGCAAACAACAGGGGCAGCATGCGAAGGATGTGCCGGTTCCCAGCACTTAACCTTCGGCTCCAAGGTCCAGTGGGAATGTGTCAAATGCGGGACCCTCAAACTCTTGGTGTTCCTTTTTGGTGTTCCTTCAAATCTAAAGAAAGGTACCCTCAAAAACCCACCCAAATACTTACTACAGACAAAAATGCAAACAAGTAAACAAGCAAGCAAGCAAGCAAGCAAGCAAGCAAGCAAGCAAGCAAGCAAGCAAGCAAGCAAGCAAGCAAGCAAGCAAGCAAGCAAGCAAGCAAGCAAGCAAGCAAGCAAGCAAGCAAGCAAGCAAGCAAGCAAGCAAGCAAGCAAGCAAGCAAGCAAGCAAGCAAGCAAGCAAGCAAGCAAGCAAGCAAAACAAAGAGACACACACACAGGTGAAACTCCCTCGTCTTGCCGCCTCTGGCGCCGAATCGGTACGGATCGCACAGACATTACGGCGCACGCACGTTTCTGGTGCTGCGCCAAGAAGTGCGCTGCGGCAAGGCATGCGCTGGCAAGTCGCTGCGAGCTTGGTGCACCAGAGATTGAGCCTGCATCTGGGCCTCGCGTGGTACCTCGTTGCTTTTGAGGTTACCAAGCACGTGGCAAAGCGTAGTCTATGTGTCAACAAGGCGACAGACCAAAAGAGGAGAGCTGACGTAGCGAAGGCTTGGCGAGCGATTTCTCCGGGCGCAAAGGCCCTCCAAGCAGCTCCGACTACAGGCTTTCTTCTCGTGTCTGCTTTCAGGGCCTCACACAAGGCTGTGTTGTTTGCCCTCATTCGTCCTAGCCACCCCCTGACCTTTACTCACAGCGCCATGTGCACCCCCTTTCTGCGTGAAAGGGTGGAACCACACAGCGCTCTGATTCCCGGCCGCGATGCAGGCAGCATCATGGCACGCAAGCATCTCATAATCTTGCGTGCCTCGAGTTTGAGGCCACATTAATACTTTGGACTCAACAGCGGCGCGTGCGTGCGGTGGGGAGATTCAAAAACGGGCAGAGAAAAAGGTGCGCCTGTTCGAAAACAAACGAAGATAGCATACGGCGGCAGAACGGAGGCTTGCGGAAAACGACGCGCTAGAGGAGGGAGGCCTTGACGGCACCTCGTGTTGCTGTGGCCGGGGCACGGGTTTGGGCCGACAGATCGTCCCAGAGCGCACCTTGAGGAATAAACAAAACGTATCCTGCTGTACTCCCAACTGTTGGTGCTGATGGCAAAGCCAACCTTGCAATCCCGAGTGGTATCTCCGCTGGACTGTGCACGCAATGCGCAGCAGCCAGATTAGGAGATTCAGTCCCTTGCGCCACATCCCGGCCGAGGAGCCCCTGGCCCCCCACTGGCGCGCCTGACTTGCGGCGGGCGCGCGGGCGAGCCACGCGCAGCAACGTCACGACGCCATATGGAGTGGTAAACAACTGCAATTCGTGCAGCGGGCCGCAGGCAGGCAAGGATGGCTTGTTTCCACACATTTTGCGTTCTCCTCTTGGGTCGCTGCTGTCCCAGCTCCGCTGTGGGGCCAGCAAACTCTTTGGCATGTCAGATGTCAAACTCCGTTGCCATGCCAGATTAAAGTGGGCAGCCAGTCGCAACGTTAGCATCGACGCGGTGGTTGCCCGTGCAAGGCAAGACGCAGCCGATGCCAAAGTGCCCTTCGCAAGTTAAAAAGCTTACGGCCAGAGGCATTCTGTTGCCCGTCCGATCTCCTTGGCGCGGGCCCCTTTCCAGCTGCCTTTCCACG